AAAAAAAAAAAATTTAAAAAAAAAAAAAAAAAAAAAAAAAAAAATAACGAATTCTGATGTTATGTGAACATATTATTCGATGTCTGATTAAAATAAGATATAGTGTATAATAAAAAAATTTATGTTTTCAAACATATGAAGAGATACTATTTTGAAAATAATGCTCACATAATTTATTCTAAGCATTTTTTTTCATTGGAAAATTAATTGTAAAAAAAGTTAGCATTAAAAATTAAAAAGTAAAACCGCGTAAAACTGCATTATACGTGATCGTTATAGTTAATATTGATTCTGTTGTGATTCAGGAGGACAATGTTGTTCTACATAATTTATCTGTAAAGAAAAATGTATTTAAATTCTTTTATACTTATTTATGTTAATGAAAAAAAAAAAAAAAAAAAAAAATATATATATATATATATATATAAAACCAGTATACCATGCATCTTGTAATATCTGAAAACGTTGTGAATTTTTCACGACATATTCTTGAAGCCTTGAATATACAATCAGGATCATTTATTTTATCATGCGGCTACAAAAGGATGAGTAAAAAAAATTTTTTTTAATTTTAATTACCTTTTTAATCGAATAGATTCATGATTTTTTTTTCGTGTAACGAGTTACTGTATTATTGTTAATTTTATTAAATAAAGGATTCTTCGATTATTTAAATTTGAACATAATAATTTTTAACGCAAGCAGAGTTACATTTGTAAAATAAGAAAAAGCAAGTGTTGAATATTTTGAATGATGGAAATAAGATTTTAAAGTTTTTTTTTCTTTTTTCTTTTAAGTATAATGAATATTGTGTTTGTTAAATATAAACGATAATATAAGACAATTTATATTAGATATAAATTATATATATATATATATATATTTTCAATTATTAATAACGATAATATATATTATAAATTACCATATTAATGTATTAATGATTGGTAATAGTTTTGCGTTTAGTGAATAGCATCTAAAAGTTATTTAAGAAACATAAATAATCATTATACAATTTTTTCTTAACTTATAATTTATATCTTAAATTTTATTGAATTGATGTTTTTCTTTTTATATATATATATTTCATTAATGTTTTTAATCTCTTGATTACTTGACAATTATATTGAAAAATTTTTCCATAATACAATATACGCCAATAAATTTTCTTATATTTTTTATCATCACCACTATTGTCTGATAATTTTGTGATTAGTAAATATACACGAGCTCAATTCACTTGCTTCTCAATTTTTCAGTAATATAATTCACTAATATAGTTGGCAAATAATATATATATATATATATATATATTATGGATAAATTTATTTGGAATATTATGGGTTAAATGAGTATGTAAGCATAACCATTCATCTTAGATTAAATTAATCGATTCGATTGTAAGTTTCTTTTAGTACGATTTTATTCATAGATTAAATATTGCTATTTCTTTTTTATGTCAATTTTAATATTATCACAGATTCTCACATTTAACAGTGATATATACGAAAATATATTAGTTTGAAAATTATAAGAAAATCTTATTGTAACCATTGTCGGAATGGTAATTAAATGGTGTTAAAATAATTAAATTTAATAACACAATGCTTATATAAATATTTCGATCAATGGCAATAATTAAAAGTCTAAATATAGGTTTATCAACGAGAAAGACATTAATGTGCGAATTCGAATAATTACGATTATGTCATAAAAATTGTATGCAAAATTATAAAAAAAAAAATTAAAAAAAAAAAAAAAAAAAAAAAAAATCTTTTATTCTAAATGGAAAATTTTAAAAGAAATTTTATAAGTACCTCAGTGTTCTCATATATATCAATGTTTGCGTAAACAATCGTAAGGAACAATGCAGTGAAGCATACTAACAAGAAATTACGAAAAAGCATTTTGATGCTATAGTTGTATTTTTTCGATTTACTAACATACGATTCTATTATGCTTACGTATTTATAGAGGAATCACTATTTTGTAATAATTTAGTAATTAATAAAACAATGAATACACTTAATCCAGAGTTTTTAAATATATTTACTTTGCATGTACGTATTTCAATGTCTTGTTTTCTAAATGCCTATATTTGGTAATGTTTATATATGAACGTCGAATAATAAATACAAAATAGTTATAAAATATGTTGATTTTCTAATAAATTAATTATCTCAAATAATATCGTAAAGATAATAATTTTATAATATCAAAGGAACTTTTTCTTTTAAAAGTATACTCTGCATATAAAAGAGGTAAATTCATATTGATAAAAAGTCATGGCGTGATTGCTAAAATATTTAATAACTTTTACGAAAACGAAAATAAATATTTTCAATTCGAATTTCGATTTCGATATTTCATACTAATGAATATTTAAGATCCGAGAGAAATATTTTTTTATGCATATTTCTTTAATTTATAAATAAGACGTTTGTAAAAAATTTGTTCAAATACAATTTTCAACTGTGAGTAAATAAGGAATTCTATTTGTTTTAAAAATATATCTGGATTTCTGTCACGATATTTTAAACTATTTAATTCTTCTCTTTCCGATGAAATGAAATACAATATTTATGCGTAATAATATAATCATTATGTCATACTGTACGGCATAATTAACATAAAACGTAACATACAATTCTCGTTTCGTTCCTTCGTATTTTCTTATTTATTCGTTAAAACTATATGTGCTTATTATGAAACATTATAGTATTGAAATTAAATTATTCACAGATCGTTGAAGTATGACAAAAGTCTTATTTAAAATAAATATACCGACGAGAAGTGGAGGACTTGAAATTAAATTAGGTGAAATAATTTTTTAAGTTTAATAACTAATTGCCAAAATCAATTATTTATAATTCAGCAATCAAGCATCATTATTAATTTTCTTAATTTACAATTTATATGTAAATAAATAGTTTTTCGTTCGAAAGATAATAAATGTCTTGTTAGGGTAACGCTGTTTACCAAATAGCGAATGGAATAACAATGGAGAGACAAAAGTAACTCATATTTATGCTTTATATAATGCATTGAAAGTATAAATTGTCGGATTTGTTGTTTGCATAGGCCCCTTCGCATTCTTATGTATTATATTCATCTTATCGGGGCATAATTATTTAATACCTCGATGCTTCATCCGACTGCGGCGCAATACTCAAGCCGTCACGTCACGGCCTACTACTCACGACCTCATATATTGTCCTTATGACTTTGGACAGAGGTCGATCCGATCTATTATTAATCTAACCGACTACTCATTGTACATTATTTGTTTAGATATTCTCATTATTAATTGGATTGTATTGGGGAAGGAGAAGCCTTGTTTCGGGTCGCTTTCAAACGGGTACGTTCCGAGTAATGTTGAGACTAACCCCGGTAACTGCCTAATTATGTCCCGTCACCTCTTTTTTTGGCTAAACAGCGACTGCAAATAAGCGATCAAGTTTTGTAATATCTTAAAGCTTAATGTGAAAGGGCATTGAATGGCGTTATCGGCTTTTTCCCTCGGTTAACTGGTGTTAAGCACCATATAAAACTGAACTGTATGTACTATGAAAATCTATCGCTCTCCATAATAATATTACATTATCGGAGATGTTAAAATCGCTGAAATGATGTTAAAATCCATTTACTTCTATTTCATATCACTTCCATGCGTGTCCTTTATTATTTAAAACATTTTTTTGATTAAATTAATAATAAATTATTGCTACAATTATAATATAAGAACACGTATAATATAGTGTAGCAATGAGAGTGATAAATCTCTATGAGAGAAAAGAATAACAGTAAGAGTTATGAAAAGATTGTAAATTTTAATTTAATAATAGGCTAATTTAATTAATAAATTAATTAAACTAGAAGCCTATCGAAATTTAGAATTTATAATCATATTGATTTAACTTCATTATAATTATGTTGTCAGTTAAATAGATTTACATATATTATATTGTTTAATTAGTTTTTTCACGTATGTGACATAAAAAACGTAAAAGATATTTATTTGTTAAGAAATCGCTATAATTATATTATATATGTAAAATTTTTTATTATTTCCTTAAAATGTTTTTTTTTCAAATATGTGATTAAAATTTCAAATAAATTAAATAGAAATTTATCGAGCGTTATATTGCAGAATATTTAAAAATTTGAATTTTTTAAATAATGATAAAAGTTATAATTGTCTTGGAATCATTTATTATTTAATTAACATTTTCTTTCAATTGTTCATTATTATCTATAGGTTCTTGAACTATCGATATTGCCGAATTTTTTCTTTTTCTTTTTCTTTTTTTTATAATAAAAAGAATGTATTGTATTTTGAGATAAAAAAAAAAAAAAAAATTCGGCAATAGACGATTCGAAAGGAGATAAGAAGTACGCGTGCTTGCATAAAAAAAAGTTTAAAAAGTAGAGGGGATGAGAGAAAGGAAATAAGCTACAATTTCTGCCATAAAATTTTTATTATCATTTTAATTTACTTTAATTAATAAAACCTGTTATTATCCTGTTCTTCTTGAAAATCATTAAAATTCATTTGTGATTAATTAATAATTAATAATCACAGACGGAATATCATTTGTTTATAAATAATTTAAAAGGAATCAATCGAAATTAGGGAAATTAGTTTTAACTTTTACAAAGTTGAAATATGTTTGAGATTTTATATTTGAACGTATGAGAATTATGAGTTATGAATTTGATAAAATTCTTAAGAATGTTCGTTAATATAAATAAACGAATTATAAAGTTGATGAATAGAAGGCTGGAATCATGGAAATAAGTATGAAGGAGTAAAGTCGAATAGCTGCTTGTAAAACATAAAGATAACGTTACGAGTAAACTAATAATTTTTTAATGTTTGTTTGTAACTGTGATTAAGTACAGTTTTAAAGTTTTGTCCAAATTGTTATTTGTAATTACGCTACAACCGACGTTACGCTATTCAATATATAAAGGAAGATGAGGATATAGGCGAGGAAAATTAATAGGCTTTCGCTTAACTGAGATGAAAATCATTGAGCCCATACTTCCTAAGTCGATTGACAGACGATTTATTAGTAATAATATCTATGTACTTATCCTTAATTGCACATAAACTCTTTTCATTTCATCTATAAGCGGTTTGCGTAATAATAATTATTAATATTCTTTATATTATTAGTATACTTAGGGTATTCGACTAACGATATATTGAAATGCTTGGAAAGATTGTGACAATGTAATGGTGGACATCTGTCTTCTTATCAGTTTTGCATGCACAGAACAATTGCGTTATAAAACTAATTTTCTTTGAATATAGAATTTTTAAAATCAATCTTAACGCATTAAAACTTTGATAGAAGTATTCGTAAAAAATTACGGAAATCTTGTGTTAACCGATTACAAATATAAATTGATTTTCTTTTGTAAATATAAATTTACTTATTTAAATCAATAATGCACAGTCATTTAAAAAAATTATTTCATAAGCAACATTAATAAAATGAATAAAGTTATGCTTGATTATTCAATATGAAAAATAACAATGGTTGGTATACATCTATTAATTAATTAATATTTATATATTAATATAAAATTTAAAACTTAAATTGAACATTCATTTCTTTAATTATCATAGTCTTTAGAAAAATTTTTGCATTGACTTTAAAAATAATTTTTTTGATGAATTTTACTTAGATAGTATGTTTGAAGTATTGTTATAATATATATTAAAACTTGATATAGACGAGTTATAAATATGTTGATACCGAAGCATATTTTAATTATAAAAAATATAAATATAATTAATCTATACAAGTTTATTGTAAGAAGCTTAATGTTTTAATTTTGAATTTATAAAGTTTCTTAATGATTGGCGAAGTAACACACACACGCACGCACGCACGCACGCACGCACGCACACACACGCACGCGCGCGCGCACACACACACGCACGCACGCACGCACGCACGCACGCACGCACGCACGCACACGCACACACACACACACACACACACAAAACAAACTTGATCAAATTTATTAAAAATATTTTACACCATTAATACAATCTTATTTATGAATTAGTAATTATATAATTCAATCGAACCGTTATTTTATAAATATAAATTTTAATGAATTTCGTTCTTTTAAGACGCTTTCTACAAAGACATTTTATTATCTCGAAATATGAAATTAAAATTTATCTTCAATTACTCAGAAAATATCAAAATATACTGGAAAGTTAAAATTTTTGAATGCTGTCGAAACTATAAACTTGGAGGCTAAAAAGCTTAAATTTAATGGAATAAATATCATAATTGTTCTAAGTCATTGTGGCATTGCGTATGACAAAATAATAGCCGCCAATTGTCCTGATGTAGATGTAATTGTCGGAGGACATTCTCATATTCTCCTTTATAATGGTAGGTAAGAGCGAATATGTTGAAAAATTTTACTTACTTTTTATGTACTGTTTTAGGTATTCCACCATCTAATGAAATTCCATATGATCGTTATCCAATAGTAATTACACAAACAAAATATAATAGAAAAGTCCTTATTGTTCATTCTGGCGCTTTTACAAAGTACGCTCATTTTTTTTTTCTTTCTTTTTCATTCCAATATATTCATATGATACGGACAATATATTTTTACGTATATTTGTATAAATACAATCATATCCATACAATTATATTAAAGGTATATGGGTAACATACGAATTGTTTTCGACGAGAATGATGAAGTGAAGTTTTGGAAAGGAAATCCAATATATCTAGATTCAAATGTAAAGGAAGGTTAGAATATAAATTTTTTAAATTAATAAATCATCAATTTTTTTAACGAACGATGTTTTTAGATTGCCTTATCATTGATGAATTGCAATCCTGGAAAGCAGGTGTGGATCGAATAGGCAAAGAAAAGATCGGACAAGCTTTAGTCTTTCTAAATAATTCCTGTGATTCAGGCGAATGTAACTTAGCTAACTTAATCACTGATGCTATGGTTTATAAGGTCTCAATTTATTATTATCATTATTAATAATGTTATTATTACCTATTCAGTATTAAATGTCTTCATAAATTTCAGTATAATAGTAATGCATCGATCAGTCTTATAAATGCAAATAGTATACAAAGTAGTATTCCTGCAGGTCCTATTTTATATGAAAATATTTATATGGTGGCGCCTTATAATAATACGTGGGATTTAATTGAGCTCCAAGGAAAGTACCTACTCGAGGTAATATATTATTATTGTCTTTAATTCTTATGTTTTCCGAATTTAAATAAAAACTATTTTAAGTGAAAATTGAGCAATGCTATATAAATGTACTTTAATGAATAATGAATAATGCTTTCATTTGAATGAAAAGAAATAGGAAAAATAAAATTTATACTAAATTGCCGTCATTCATGTTATATTTATTGTAATTGTTATTTTTTTTACATAAAATTTTTTTACATATTATTAATTGCAAATCATTATGAATGTTATATAACTTTATTTAGAACGAAGGATGCCCTATGTGAGTCAAACTCTTATATGACATAAGATAATCTTTCTTCTGAATCTTTATATATTATACTTTTTACGTGGAAATTAAAAGCATAATATTTTATTTAGAAAACGGTTGCATTTACACTTTGTCACATACATAGAGAAATCTCAAAGAATGTCTTAGAGTAGTAGTAATATGATTGAATTGGTATTATTTGTACTATTGATTTTATCTCAGAATTTTCATTATATAAATAAAGTTTTAGTCTATATCGAAAGTTAAGAAATAATTGAACTTGTATTTTCTTTACATATTTTATATATGTGATATTTGTATTATTATTTCTCCTTCTTTCTTATTGTTTCTTCTTATATATATATATAAAAAAAAAAAAAACTTACCATTTACCTATATCGAAATATTCTACGTACGAATATCGCTTTTTCTTATAATTAATTTATATTGTATACTTTAATTTTATAAATTTTAACATATTTTTACCTAACTCATTTATTTTTCAAAATTATTTTCTATTTGATTATAAAAAATTGGCAATTTATCATCAAATAGGTTTATCATTAAACATAAAAATCTGATTACTAGTCTATTTAATATATCATCATTATTATAAATATTAAGACTTCATATGTATTGTTTTGTATTAGGATTAAACTTTGAAATATTGTTTTTCATTTTTCCACAGGAAAATATTTGATTTCTATTATATAAATCGAAAAATAAATAATTATTTTTAGTATTTACTTAATTGTTTATAATTTGTCAGAGATGAACTATTCGATTGTGTATACTACGCAAAATTATTATAAAAAAAAAAAAAAAAAAAAAAAAAAAAAAAAAAAAAATTATAAATAAATACTATAACGTTTAATGTTTAAATTATTGATTTTTTTTCTTATTTGAATAGCAAAGAGGTTTTAAGTATGAGAGAAAGAAAGAATATGGGAGATAATGGTTTTAATAAAAATCATATATTCATTCGAAAGATATTTAACTTATAAAATTTTTGCTTAACCATCTATAGAGGCTCATAATATATGCTTTATATGTCTCATATAATTAATTAATGTTAAATTATATGCAAGAAAATATAATAATTAATAAAACTATTTAAATTCACGAATATAAAATAAAATGAATAAAATGCAAATAATTTCAGGCTCTAGAAGAAAATGTCGCTGCAAGTTCGAGTAATACAAGTTTTATTAATTCCAAGCTTCTGCATTGGTCTGGGTTAAAAGTCACTTATAACCTTACTAACAACAAGGATAGAGTCATTGATGTGAAAGTCAGGTATATATACTTGTTATGAATTACTTTACGTAATACTTATAATTAAACATGAGACTAAGAATATTATATAATATTATGACGTTTAAGGTGTTTTCATTGTCTAAACAAAGTTTTCGAAGCTCTAGAACCGCACAAACGGTACCCAATTGTCATTCCATCATATATAGTATCGAATACAATTATCAAAAAACAGATAAACAAAGTAATTGGAAAAACCAGCGACTTAGCGAATATTGTGAATTATATAAAGAAAATTGATGTAGTCGATATAGGAAATGAATCTAGAATGATATTTGTATAAAGTAATATAATTGTTTGTGAATTAATATAATGTTGCTGAAAACAAGAACAAAACTATATCGTACATATCGTACATTTAAAAATGTTAATCCATAGCGTTAGAATGAATTATTGTTTTAATATTAAAACAAGGACAATACACAAACGAATTAATTTATCAACATAAAGTCGTGCATTACGGCACATGTATTTACAAAAACATTGTATATATAACTTATATACACAATACATAGTTATATAAATAACATTGATGTCCATATTATTATGAAATTAAAATTTTTCTTTTATATTATTTTTTTATTGATATTTTTCATTAATTGAACCATATTTTTCATAGATACTCTACTTATGTTTGAATAATAACGATTTGAAATTTAGTCTATCAAGCTTTTGATTCAATTAAAATATTACTGCTATTATTATTAATTGCAAGTATTATAATATTATATAAAATTTAACTAACGTAATAATTTTTTGAAATAATGTTTTAATTCTTATTACCTATGATTATAAAATACTTAGCCCTTAAATTTTGTACTACGTAATGTTTAAAAGCTAATTTTTTATCATTCGCGATCCATTCTTTTTTATTCATCAAGAGGATATTACATTAGTTATTACTAAATAATAGATTGTCACTAAATATTACACTTAAATATCTAAGTATTAATACTATTTTATGAATATAAATGATTACCAAAATAATATGTATATTCCATTCTGTCAATATTAAAATTGGCATATGTATTAAGTATATAAATATTTAATAAATGTAACGAATAATTGATTTATTAGATATATATATTTTTTGTTTTTTGTTTTTTTTTTTGTTTTTACTCGAAGATAGATACTTGAATATGGATAGAAGCGGTTGAAAAATACTAATTTAATTGATGTGAATGTCTAATCGGTAAATTTGGTTTGAATTTTTGAAAAACTGTTTCTACGTGTTTTCATGTATTAGCCTCAATATTTGTGATATTCAAATATATAATAAAACATGTTAAATTAAATAGTATATATAAGTTTTTATTACTTTAACGCAGCTTCTAAGTTAAGTTAAAAAAAAAAAAAAAAAAAAAAAAAAAAAAAAAAAAAAAAAAAAAAAAAAAAATTACATTACGATAGTTCATAGTCAAATAGTGAAAATAGTATTGACATTGAAGTAATCATTGGACAATCAATCCATTTATATAATATTTTTATATTTAATTAATGAAAATAAAAATGGCCCATATGAAAATCATATGTAGCTTGAATCTTAACGTTCATTAAACAAAGAAAAAAAAAGAAAAAAAAAAGCAATTTAACGTATGAATATAGAGATTTAATGTTAAATTAATGTATTAATAATGTTAAATTAAATCCAATGATTTAGTTATATAATTGTTGTTACAACGAATTGAAAAATAAATACGTTGATGCGCTTAACTGAAAATTTATATTAACTTAAAATATATATTTTTTTGTTATACAACATTTTGTTGCTTAAGTTATTATGCCTTATTACATGAGATGAAATTTATTTTGCATTGGTAAACGAAAATATATTTTGGAAATAAAAATAAACTTCATTATTCAAATATTTGAGTATAATTGCATGCAATCGAATATATTAATGGATAATTTTACTTTAGTAGCTCATATTATTTATATATATATATATATATATATATTATTAATATTTTATAGAATGTAGTAGATAATATATGTTTTAAAATAATAAATAAATTGTCTTATCGAAGGAATTATTCACTTTATTTTTATATTTCATCTTTACAATTATCTTCTTTTATCGTCAGTTTTTATAAAGCTTTCAATTGTTGCTATGTTACTTTCGAATTTCTTTTTCTTGCCTTTTTCAATAAAATCTACTACACCATATAGATGACGTACAATAAGTAAAAACTTTTTAGCAATAATTATAAAACTTTTGTCCTTTTTGTCCGTCGTTTGTCCTTTATTTCATTAATTTTCTTTTACAATTTTAATCTAAATATTTATACTGTATATTTTTATGGGACTTTGGTAATGATATTTTAATACTTAATTATTATATAAAAGTTCAATCGTTAATAATTTTTATTGAGAGTAACTTTCATTATTTTTTCATCGTCCTTATTTACATTTATTTTCATATATTCGCTTAGCCACAGCAGTAACATTAATAAGACATGCATGTATTGAAAAAAAAAAAAAAAAAAAAAAATTACAAGCGACATCATAATGTATTAGTCATAACGTTATTAATATTTAATTTTGTATTATGAATTCTGTGTTATGGGACAATGAAATATTGTGACGAGTTATTAGTTAATATTGTACTATAAAGTACGTATGTTATATATTTTAAATTCTTGATTTACTTTATATTTGTAGGCCATATACCATCACGCATAGATTAGGCTAAATTATCAGGCTATTTGAGATAAGAAAATGAAATATTAAATTCTATTTACAATAATACGTGTACAAAACTAATTCAAGAGCCTGTATTAGTTAAATTCAAATCCATGTTAATTCAAGGTATATAAAGTACTTTACCGACGTTATTATTGTAAAAATTTTTATAAATATATTTTAAAATAAAAAAATAAATATGAATATACCGTCATTAATAGGTTCTCTTTTATCATTAATTGCTGGTAAGTAGTGGAATTGATTTAAATAATTTTTAAATAATATTATGAATAAGATATTCAATATACTTTTAAACGTATAATAAATTGAATTGACACAAATAAGAAAAAAATTGTTTGTGGAAAGAAAAATGAAAAACTTTAATTTATAAAAATAGCACGATCGACGGTGATTTTTCACATACCAAATTGTACTTTTCACAATCGCTCTTGGCATTCTGCATTCTCAAATAAATTCTACCATATATTTAAATAATATCCTCACAATATGTTAAATAATACAAATACAAACTTACTATATTACTTGTCATTACTTAATTATAAATATTAATGAAGTATTTTCAGCCGTCGTTGTAGTATGTGAATCGGTAGATATAACGGAATATCCGCATCATGTAGCATTCATAATGACAAATGCTCAGCAGCTCTTTTGTAGCGGCTCGATCCTTAACAATTGGTTTATTATTACCGCCGCTGAGTGTCTCTATCAGAAGGAACATTTATTTCCAAATATAAGAATGTTCGTAGGGGCATCAAATTTAAATAACCGACGTGGTACCGGATATGCCATTGAGTCTATCACCTTTCATCCCCATTATAATTCTTTACGTTCGCAAAATGCAGGAAAACTCTATAATATCGCATTAGTAAAGGTTTGTAACATATAATTTGAATTTTTAATATTACTAACGATACTCTCCTAATTTTACATATCATTATTCGTATAAATTTTTTTTCTTCTCTCAGAGTACAAGTTTATTTTGTTTTTCTCCATAAGCTTCTAGTTAATATTCCAATAAATTTTATTGCATTCTGTAATAGATGAAATAAAATATTCACAACACACACACACACACACGCACAACACACAACACACACACACACAACACACACACACACACACACACACACACACACACACACACAAACAAAGACCTGTAAAGATAAATTTACTCTATAGTATATGTATGATATTGTGTGATATTGATATAATATATTTATATATATATGATATTGTATATATATAATATAAATTATAATATATAGTATATATATGATAATGATATAATATATATATATATATATATATATATATATATATAGTATGAATATTTATAATGCAGATATAATTTAATTTTTTAAAAGATTATTTTTAATAAATTTCTGAATAGATTACGTATTATCGAATTAATATGTAATGTATAATTAATATGCAGATTTTCATATGTAAATATTGAAGATAACTTGGCACGTATATTATTTAGCATTTTGCTATCTATATGCTTGCCGATGCTTTCATCGTTCATTCTGAAATTATTATTGAATAATTTCTAATGACTTTTCAATAAAAAAAAAGCCATATTGATATATTTGTACGTAGAAATGAACAATAATTGCATTAAATTTATTAAGCTTATTATAGTAAATACATTACTGTATTATTTTATTAAGCCACTTGATTTTTAAATCATTCGCCTGTTTTGATTTAAAATACTTGATGATCCATGAAAATATATAATTCAGATACATATAATTAGCGAATGTATTGGATTAAACAATAGAACTGGTTAAATTTATTCACATTTGTTAGAGGAATTATTACATTCGTAATACATTAATTTATTGACATCAATGAATGAATAATAAAATTGTACCTACAAAAAGAAAGTAGATATGTAAAATATTAAATGTTAATATCCTGAGAGCGTAGGCAATCGTTGTTCGTTTTAATTACGGTAAAGGTTAAGCTAAAATCTTTATCGATTGAAAACAAAAAACAATTTTAAAAATTAAAACAATAAAGGAAAATTCTTGTATTACGTAAAATATTGATAATTAGCCTGTGAGAAAGAATGAACGTTTGCATAAAATACATTAAGTAATTTGAATGAAAGAATCTCCATTATCCTTTTACGAATGTAATGTTGAGAATAAAAACGTTTAATTTTACAGTCCACGATTGCCATTATATTTGATCCAAGACAGAATAGAATACGTCTACCATCGTCTGATATCGCTCTCGGTCAAGTTGTTACAGTGATTAGTTGGGAATTCGAAGACCGATCGTCCTCACATTCACCGCTTGTAATGAAAAAAGTCGATAGCGAGATAAGTAGTCGTGTTGATTTTCGAACACATTATCGAAGTCCTTTTAAAAATTCCCAATTTACCACTTGCGATGCACAGGAAACGAACGTTTACGAAGTAAGTGTTTTTCAAAATCTTTTCAACTGGTCGTGTACGTTAAAGTTTTATTTCCTTTCAAATTGCGCGTGAATAATAATGAAAAATAAACAATGCATTGAATTAACTTTTTTATATTATTTACAGTTCTATTATTATTTACAATAGTAAAAAATTTCCTCGTTTCGTTTAATCAAATGTAATATTCAATTATTATATGATTTTTTGCAATCAAGCGGGACTAATATCAAGCCACATCATATTGATGCTAAAAGTATATTTCTTATAAAAATCATATGACGTATTGCGGATATTCAATTTTGTATTACGATTATATTAAGACGATGACTCGAAGTGAAATGTGAAAAAGCTCGTCGATGTGCTAATTCATTGGGAGATACGTACTAATTGTTAAAACGAAGATCCAATTTCTGGCTTATCGAGGCTCTCAACTTTTACTTCGAGTCTTTCTCCTGCAAAATTTCCATATTAATATTGCAATATTTATAAAATATTTATAAATTTCACAGGGCAACGTCGGTGGTTCAGTCATTTACAACAACAGACTTGTAGGAGTCGTTTCCGAAAGTACTTTGTGCAATCAAGGTGTATGTAGTAATAATGTCAACATTTACTCCTCTTTAGGTTTTATTTGGCCAATCATAAGCCAAAGATATCTAATCTAAGTTTAGTTATTTAATAAATTATTAAAAAAAATTAATATTCAACACATTACTTACTCTATAAATGTGTTGGTTTAATTATTATTACGTATAAGTTTTAGATTTCTATAGTACGATGTATAATAATGTTTAAAAGAGAAATTCGAATGTCAGCGCCATTTGTATTATTCGTTGTTCATGTTTCTTGTATTGACTGACGCAGTTTGCATTTCTCGTCTAAAATAAAAGTTTTCAATAAAACGAAGAATTATATATACTTGTATATAATGATCAATATGCTTATTTTGAATTTTCATTGAACATTCATCCTATTAATTGATAATATTTTCGTTATAATGATTAATCGCTGATTTATTACAGGATTTTATTGTTATATAAATTAAAAAAGAATTTGTTATAGCAATATTATTTTTTTACATAAGTTTATTTTGATTCCTTACTTTTTTGCACTCTATGGATGTACGTGTAAACTACGCTTTAATACCTCAAAAATATAATAATAAATGTTAAATAATTTTATTTATGAGAGGAATAGTTTTTTTTTACTTTTAATTATTTATTCAAGGAATATGAACGAAGCGAGTGTGCAAATATGTACGTAACGTAGTTGAATACAGAGTTGAAGGCTGCTTTTTTAAATACATTATAAAATACATTTTTCAATGAATAAAAGTAAGAAATATTTAAGAAATTTATAAGAAAAAAAAAATGTACAAAATTTTTAATTTACTAATGGTTATATTTTTTTTTCGAAACTCTTTTTGAAAATAGTGAATAATTGATATAATAGCAAAGTTGTATAGTAGTAACGTTTGATCTTGCAACAAAGACAGATTTTGCGAGCCGAAGATGATATTCGAATGCTTACAAACATAAAATAACGATTTTAAGGTTCTTCTGTATTATTAGTTTTTTGTTTGATAATCGAAAAGGGGTTCCGAAAATTTTTTTAGCATATTTCTTGGCTCATAATTATTAAGACTTCTTGGTCATAATTATGAGGGATTTCATATATTTTCAACAGCTGGTAAATTTCAATTTTATTTAAAATATCTATTATGAAATAGTGATATTGCTCTACCTTTCAATTGTGACAGCAATTTTTCTTAAATTATTTTTTTCTTTATATAATAGTTAATTTGTTCATCAAGCCCCCTGATATAAGCACGATTTAACGTATTATATATTATTATATATTATTTATCGTTACTTATTTTATTTGCAATTGGTGTTTATAATAATATATTTTCATCAATTATTCATTAATTATTAAATTATTTGTGCAATTTATTTTATAATCATAAATATGTGTAAATATAGTTAATATAATAAGAGTAATAGAAAAATGAAATATTAAGTTAAGTTTATTTTATGAAATAACTTTAAAATACATATTATTTATTTGTACAAATTTGAGGAGTATTTTATTTTTTATAAATTAATCATATATAAATGAAGTTGAAGAAAACACAAAGGAAAGACAATTTGACGATAATGTAAATAAAGCATAATATAATTAAAAACGATAACATTAATTAAACAAAAATTTATGGATATATAAGTAAAATATATATATATATATATATATATATATATATTTATAGCTAGTTTATGCCAATTTAGTAAATAATTCATTTCAATATGTTGAATTGGTGGTATAATATAAAGATAAAGCAGAATGGAAACAATAAAGATAAAAACATCGTATTAGTGATATGAATGGGAATTTTTCATTTCTCATTTTTCATTTATAATATGTTAAAAAATATATATTAATTTCGATACAACCGTGTGATAATGTATAGATTATAAATAGTTATGGTATGTTTGTATGTTGTAAAAATTTAAATTTAAATACATCTGTGGAATCAATTAAATAAAATTTTTATATTAAAAATAACGGATATTGATATAATGTAAACATTATCGAATGCATTAATTATGAATTACTTTGGCAATTTAAAGTACGTAAGTGTATCATCATACATTATGAGGATGGTTGATTTGATTTGTTTAAAAAAAAAAAGTTTCTGCATAATTAAACGAAGTTGCTAAAGATATTTTTAAAATAACGAGATCATATTAATAATTTTTGTCTTTTATGAATGTAAACAGTATTGCCCATAAATAATTTGGAATATATTTCTATTTCGAAAAACATAGTTATAATTATTATAATTTTGTAAAGCTTCAAAGAAATATTATTTTTTTTTTTTTATAAAATCCAATTAATAGTAAATTCTTAATAACAATTTTAATTATGTTAATGCTTTAGCGAATTGTTGTTAATTTAGTTGTATATCGTCTAGTAAATTTGATATTATTTCGACGAATCAATATATTGAAATTTTAAGTTTATACTTTCACTATTTTAATACATAAATCTATAAGAATATATACACTTGAAAAGATGTAAGTAAAATTAAACATTTTAACATTTAAACACAATAATTGAAAAATAATTTATTTATATTTTATTCTATATCATAATGTCATGTTATGGGGGAAGGGAACAGGTTTCAAAGAAAAAATATCCTTATATTTATTTAAATATTTATAACGCTTATCGAAATAATAAACATTTCATTCATTATTCATTATTTATTAATAACAAATTCAATAAAATGCAAATAGGAAAAAACATTAGTATGGATGTCAGGCTTTCCTTTTGCGCACGGCATATTACAAGATACAATACCAATAATTTCATTATTATATATCAATGGACCACCGCTATCACCCTGTAAATTATAGTACAAGAATCATGTAAAAAATGATATATAAAACTACAAATAATACAAATTATAATTAATTTATAATAATTATATTATAACGTTGTATATTAACTATACTAGATAATGAAAATTTATCCTTATTATTATTATTATTATTGTTGTTGTTGTTGTTGTTGTTGTTGTTGTTGTTGTTGTTGTTGTTGTTATTATTGTTATTATTGTTATTTTATTATTGTTATTATTGTTATTATTGTTATTATTGTTATTATTGTTATTATTGTTATTATTGTTATTATTGTTATTATTGTTATTATTGTTATTATATATAAATATTATTTCATAAATGTTATGGAAAATGAGTGAACGTGATTTATTAAATTATTTGATTGAAATTAATTTGAAATATTGAGCTGAGCTTACAGTGCATATCCCTATGCCTTCTCCCTGCAATGTACACAATTGCTCATTATAAAGAACAAATGTATAATGGTTAAGGCAATGTGACATTTCAATAATATCAACGAAAGCTCCACGCAGCACGGTATTATCATTTTCAGTTCCATAATATGTCATTCCCCAACCGCTCACAAGACCTCTCCAGCCAGCTCGGTAATTACTTTTTGGTAAATTTATCTTGTTTTGAAATTCATTGAATATAATTGTGCCTTGAATCTATTGAACGTTGGTTTTCAATTTAAAAAAAAAAAAAAAAAAAAAAAAAAAAAAAAAAAAAAATCATAATTTATCGTTAAATGTAAAAATGTTAATTTAAGAATTCTTAATAAACAATAATGTAATATTAGCTTATTTTTATGTACAATTTGGCTAATACACACTCGCGCACGCAGATATATTGAATAATGATATATAATATATAATATAAATATAATATAAATAATAATGCTATTGGAATATTAACTTTAATGCATTAGAATTATATTGCAAATTATTTGACATAACGTTTTCTCGAAATAAGTAAATCTTCTGTAAAATAAAAAGTTTGTTATTAATAACACATAAAGACGAATATTTTTAATTAATATACGATCAATTCAAATTGGTCAATGACGTGGCTAAATATTTTCAACAATAAATATTTTACATAAATGAAAGTTTCGACAGACAGATTCAACGATATAATATATCGTTTTTCATAATACAAATTAATTGTTAGGAATTGTTAGGAAAAAGATTTTGAATTAGTCATTAATATATGATAATAATGATCATTAATCGCGCCGTTAAAAAATTCATAATTTACTATATTTTCTCGATGATTCTCGATGAAAGTTCAATTGCATTGAAAGAATATGACACATCATCTGTGATAAATTATGTAATTAGGGTCGGACGTACCATAACAACGGCTATGTCATTTAGATTCATAGCGTATTTTGTCATTTCTCCTGTGAATCGCGGATGAATATAAACGTTATAAATCTTGAATTTCGATGGGATATCGGTCATTAAATTACTTATTCCTACATAAATGCGTAACATTTCATAATGCATATCTCTTTCATAGAGGCAATGCGCGGCAGTGAGTATATGCTTATTTGTTATAATTGAGCCTCCGCAAATAACTGTGTTAATGTGTGGGAATACAATTGCCGCTTGATATGGAGCATTTCTTACATCTATTTCTTGGCCGCCAATAATTTTTGCCCTCTTAGTAAAAGCACCTATAATAATATGATAATAGAAAGGAGTATTTAAGTGCTTTAATCGCTATTTGGCGATTTGGTAATAAATATAATTTTCTTCTCAATACGAGCTGTACGAGGTATGAAATTTATTTTTTGAAACATAGTTGATCCGATTAGTATGACTTATTACTTAATGCAAATATTATAGATTACTGTTACATTTTGTATTTTATAAGAAATATTTTTAGCTTACCAATCATCAACATTGAATAGAAATAAAGCAGAAGCACAAAATTCATTTTAGTCTTTTTTTTTTATCATTTAAAGAAGATCAAATCTTATGCAATGTTTTATATAGGCATGCCTAGTTATTAATTAATAAATAATTTTATTCTTTTTCAAATATTATCTTAGATCATAATTTACATTTTTATTCTATAAATTAAAATATCTGTAGATAAGAAAGCAAAAAGAAAAGATTAGACTTTATTATGCATATATATTTTAATATATCATATAGTGTAGTATATATTTTTTCCCTTTTGTTTTATATTTTATTGATTATAAAAAACATAAGGGAATCAATAAACTTCAGAGGTAACAAAATTATTTATATTATTACGGTTCTCTCTCTCTCTTTTTTTTTTTTTTTTTTTTTTTTTTTTTTTTTTTTTTTTTTTTTATCATAAATTTAATTTAAATAATCATCATGATTGATTTAATCTATATTTACTTTTTGTAAATTGATAGAATACTAAAAGTAAAATTTAAATGTGATTAAAAACATTCACAATGATATTGTTTATTGTATGTCAATAATATTAAATATTAATAATTATGGTCTAACGTGTCCTTCAATTATTCATATTGAAATATTTCTTATTAATTCATTGGTACGTTAATGTAAATATTTCTCTAATTATAAGTATTATAAAGCAATATATAATATTCTTGTTATTTATGTATTATTATGTAATATGTATTTGTTAATTAATATGGACCATCTTAAATATTTACATATAAATCGTTAAATGTATAAATGTATTTTATTAAATTTTATTAACCAATAGTAAATATAATTCTTTACATGTTTTTATTATCTCGTAACTATGATGTCTTTACTTTTATACATAATAAGGCAATGGATAACAAATTAGGTAATTGATAATAATATAATATTTAAATACATAATATTTAATAGACAGTAATAACATAATAATAGTATTATTTATTAAATTATTATCTATCAAATGCAGCATCATTGTATTAAGTATTTACAGTTTAACAATATTTTTATCGATGAAATTTGATATTGTTTTACTTGTATATTATTATATTGCGATTGCGTACATATTGTTTATTTTTTCTATTCAATTTCTATTTTAATAGTAATATTTAATGTAATTCATAATAAGTTATGGGTGAATAAATAAATTATATGATATCCATACCTAGTATATTTTAACTAATTTCTTTTAAAATTTTCTGTAATAGATTATATTGTTATAAATGATAATTAATAATGAAATTTAGGTCCAAACTTTAAATAATGTATATAAATTAATTTCAGTGAAAGTCGTTTCACTTTTTACAAGCTTTCAAATATGAAAGAAATTTACTATTTCTGGATATCACAAAATGTATCACAAAATAGTCTAGTATAGTTTAGATAAAATATTATGATTAATACGAACTGTATTTCCTTTATTAAGGAAATATCGAAGAGAATGAATAACATGTATATTCATATAATTTATAAGATTTAAAGAAATAAGATAATTTTTTTTAAACATAAATATATATAGAAATTGTAAGTAGCGCGTCTTTTAAAATTAGTTAATTAATTAACGTGTATAATAAAAAAATGTGATTTTTATATGTTGTTTTGTTGTAAATTTTTATAATGGAATACGGATAAAACGTACTATAATAATTTAGTTCAAATTAATGATCTAGAAACAGGTAGAAGTGTTTAAAGCATGAATAATAAATGATAAATTATCATAATAAAATTGGATTTTTAGTACGTTAAAGTTATTAATGAATTGACAATTTTTAAAAATTTGGTAATACAGAGAAATTATAAGTTTGAACAATGAAAAATAATATTTTGCATACGATTTGTACGAAATTACATTAAATTTCTACTAATGCACAGCCTTGTTTCATCCTCGCCTTACTACATAAAATTTTTAATTCAATTATCAAAATGACTTAGTGGAGATTAATGACTTGAAAAGATAAAATGAATAAAAAAAAAAAAAATAATCGTTACAGAATAATATTTAAAGAATTTTGTTACCGTAGAGTAAAAGTGAACAATTTGAAATATACACATATTAATTCTTAGAAATGTAAACAATCTGTCTCAAAATATGTTAAATATGCCTTAAAAATTATTAAAGAAACTGAATTTCATTCGTTACAATGTCGGTTTTTGAAAAGTTTTATTGGAGCTTGTAGAAATTATTGTAATATTATTTTCAATAATATTGTGTTTAACAGAAAAACAATAAAAAAAAAAAAAAAAAAAAAAAAAAAAAAAAAAAGCGACAGAAAAAGTTGATTATAAAAAAAAAAAAAAAATAAAATAAAATAAAATAAATAAAAAAAAATTAAGAATTAATAATGAATAATTTTGTCGTAAATTTTAACTGTCATCAACAAATTAAATTTCTATCAAACGTTTTATTCATATACATTATCTAATATATAGAAAAAGTAAATATATATTTTACCAATCTAGACTTTGATATGTAGATAGATAATGTAATTTTTTTACTTATTGAAAAAAAAAAAAAATTTAAGTTAATAGAACAAGTGGATTATATAATTGATAATTTAAATTCATTAAATTCTGCTCGAACGAAAATGTTGAGAAGAGTTAATTAACCGATACTTATATATTAATATAATTTGATGTGGCAAAAAGTAATGAAAAATTCAATTATGAATGATAGTATTGTCGGCAAGAAGCTGAAAATAAAGAAAATTTTCGTTAGCGGATTATTTAATTATTTTATAGCTGATATAATAAGTATAGAAATGAAAATTGAAAAATTTTCAAACAATGTTGATCAATAATATGGTTAGGTGATCGAGGATTTATTCAATAGTAAAATCTTGGATGAAATTTTAATTTTCAAAAATGATATTTTTAAACCAAATTAATTAACATTCCTAAATTTATTTTAACTATATTTGTATCCATAATTATTGATATTAATCATATGAATGTAAAAAATTGACTGTTTTTCTAATATATCGTCATAAAAGTATATTACTTCTTTTTTTTATATTATTTTGCTCACAATAAAAAAAAATGTATCTATCAGTTTATATTTTTAATTGAATTTTCGAAATACTCAATCTTTTAAAGTTGCATTTATAACATTTATATTAATATTTTCTAATTGATACAATTGAATTGAATAGCTGTTAGTTACTATTCCAATTTTTATTATTCAACAATATATATGGCTTAGATATATTTTACGTTACTTAATGTCTATTATAAGGATGTCGATAACTTAGTCTTGAAATAATTTTTTTCTTTCTTTGTTCATTATTGTTCCATAACGAGAGTAACACTAGACTTATGCACTAATGCTCGACAATGTTAATACTACATTAATATAGAGAGGAAAACTCTGTTTAAGTACTTAAAAATACGTACACGTTAATCAACCGAGGAAAATTATATTTTTTATCATTTGACACAGCGTATTTCTCCATCACAGTATTATGTTTTTCGAAAAATTATCATTTTATTGTATGTAAAGGTAAATTATCATTTAATTGTAATTTATTCATGTGTAGATATATTATTTTGTATTTGTGATCGTGATAAACTATTACTTATCCGAATGAATTGCGGTATATTTATAATATTTCGTTATAGTTTTGTTTGACGATGACGTTTTATTGTTTGTCTCAATCCAGCTTTTTCTTTTATATTTTTTATACAATTATATGTAACATTTGTTTGACGATGAAATTTATTCTATCGTATTATTAATAGCTTTTTATACTTTTCTTTCATTACACCAACTTTTTTTTTTTTACTAATGCATGACATTTGCAGTATGACATTATTTATATATATATATATATATATATATATATATATATATATATATATATGTTATTGTAATATAAATATGGAATCGTAGTGAAAATAATTATAAACTTTTTTACGTGGTTTCATCTTATTTGAATTTTATTCGCACATCAGACAAGTAAATCGTGTACATTACAGATTAATGAGATTTTATATAAATTGTTCTATTTAAATTTCGCCAATAGATTTCAAAAACTTAATTTAGTATGTACATATTAAATATATACACAATGTTGTATTTTATCATATTTATTATATTAAATATATACATAATCCTATATACATAATGTTAACATTACTTTTAATTTCTAATTAGTATTGTACGTTTAAAAAGTGTGTATCTTACGCAGTCAGGCGCATTCGCGCACAAACACGAACGTGGATTCGAGTATTCACGGGCCCACATACGTGTGCGTATATTATTGATTTATAACGCTTCTAATGAAGTTAATATTGAAGTCAATGCTGGTGTGTACATCGGGCACCCCCGTGGCACAAGGTACGCCAAACGAAATAACGCCAATAAGTTTTCCATTGCTAACCACTGGTCCACCGCTATCGCCCTATAACATTATATAAATCTTTTTACATATAGTTTCCTAATACGTAATTTCATTAAAATTCCAATCAATCACATTGAATAATATGCAAAATAATTAAATATTTCTAATTTTTATTTTAGTTATATCTTTTTTTTTTTTTTTTTCGTTTTGGAAAGTAGTTGAAATTATATATTTATTTCCGTGTTTAATTAAATATAAATTTGTAAAATTGATTTTTTACTGCACATGAAAATTGAATTGAACTTACAGGTAAGTTTGCTTTGTGATGGTAAGACTACACTGAAACTAAATACCTTTTAGTAGTTAAGTTTAGAGTTGTTTTATAAACGATCTTCAATCAGGCGGCTAATATTTTTACATGAAAACCTACTTTTTTTAAGGTTTATTCCCTTTAGTTATTAAATTCATATTTTGCTTATAATATAAATTGTATATAAATATAAATATAAATGTAGCCAATTTGGGAGTATTACGGAAAAATAGGATAACTGAATGACGATTTCTTTGCTCTTGAGATTCTTCATGGATGTATAAAATTACAGAAATGGATCATTTTTTTCTACCGATCTTTAGAATATAATATTTACGATTTCTGAAGAGACAAAGAAGACCTTTTGCTGCGAAACATAATTTAACGGTCATAAAGAAGTTCAATTCCTGACCTTTATTTTTGTATAAATGCACCCAGAAAGTCTGATAGCAATTATCTTTTTTTTTTTTCTTTTTTTTCTTTTTTTTCTTTTTTTTTTTTTTTTTTTGAATTTTTTTTTTTGTTTGCTAACATTATTTTTGTACGATGTTTTAATTTTTAAATAATATCCTTCTAATATTTAAGTCCTCTAAAATAAAGTTCTCTAAAATAAAATTAATCCTTAATCGTCTTTAGTTAAAATCTTCTTTTTCTTTTTTCTTTTTTTAATTACACGCGCATTTATCTTTTCATTTTTTTTTTTTTTATTTTTTTTTTTGATTTTTAATTACTAATTTACATAAAAAAAAAAATACATATTCATTATTGTCAAAGGCTTTAAACAAATGAAAAAACTTACGGTGCACACGCCAATCCCATTCAACTGCAATGTACACATATGGTAATCACAAATTGGAAATTCAAAATTATCCGCACATTCTTCATTGCTAACAATTATTACTGTTGCCGTTTGCAGTAAGGCGGGAGTATTAGTTGCTGGGTAAGTCGTCCATCCCCAACCGCTGATGATAGCTTCATCGCCAATGTGATAAGGTATTGTCGGTAAATCGATTTTATTTTGATATTCATTAAATACGATTGTACCTTGTATCTGACGAAGAGAAAATTACTTTGGATAAATCGCTTCAAACGATTGATTAGGTAATAAAAGAATTTTTTACAATTCGTAGTGACTGAATCATTACCTACGAAATTTTCTAATATCAATCATATAAAAAAATATAATATAGAATAGTATGTTTTAGCAAATGATATTGATTTTAATGTTAAAGCAAAATATGTAAGGGAAGCATGTAATATATAAGTTTGATGTACCGTAATGACGGCAATATCGTATGCAGAGACAGTATTATTTGACATTTCTCCCGTGTACGAAGGATGAATGTCCGCGTGATCGATCATATACGTCCATCTAAGTATGTCATTTAGATTTGTTGTTCCTGCGATAATAATCATTTCAGAATATAATTGAGTAGCGACACAATGAGCTGCGGTAAGAATGTGTTTGTCAGTGACAATAGAACCTCCGCACTTAAGTATATTTTGATGCACATATTTTATTGCTACTTGGTATGGCATTTCCTTTATATCTGCATCCTTCCCACCAAGAATCCTTGATTTTTTACAGAGGACGCCTACAAAATTTAAAATCACTATTGTACAGGTTTTAGTGATCCGATGATACGAATGTTAACATAAAACGACAAATTCGTTAAATTAACCATTAATATCCTATCGTATGTATTATGAATATTTAGATATATGCAAATATTTTATTTACCGAATGAACAATTTTATAAATATTTCATACATTTATTAAAATATTAATATAATAAACAAATGAAAATATTTTTTAACTTTTTACAAACATTTAATTTTATTGCTACTCTATGATTAAATATTAAAATAAGAAAATAGATATAATTTCATTGTAAAAAAAAAAAATTTTGCACATTAGCTTTCATTAAATATTTTCATTGTTGCGATATTATACGATAAATAGTTAAATTATTTGACGGTAATAATAATAAACTTGAAAAATGTTGTATATATATTTATACGAACAAAACTATATTTCACTTTATGAATTGGGATAACGCAAATTTATTATTTTATATAAATATATATGAGTAATATATGAATACAATTAAAGATAGATAAATTATTGTAAAAGATGAATAATAATAAAAGAATTGTATTTTACATTCTATTTGTCTTAAATAAATAATTAATTCAAGAAATAGGCATATATATGTTTTTAGGATTATTGAAATTCAACACTATATATTATTATTTTAATTCTCATTAATCAAATAATGTAAAAGAAATGTTGTATATACAATATATGTCTATTAATAATAAGTAAAAAAATATTGTTTATAGTTTTCTATAATTTCATAAGCGATAGTTATTTTAAATGACAATATATAATTCTTTAAATTCTATATGTAATATATAATATTATTGTTTAAATTATTGTGAATGATCATAAATGAAATTTGGTTAGAGAAATAATTGTAATATATATATGTAATATATAAATTTAATCGATAGTGAATGAAAAAAAAATATATTTTTCGGTTATTTCAAATTAATTTCCCTTAAAAATCTATAAGTAAATAGACTACTTTCGTATGGATTACTAAAATTTAGGTTTTCCATTTAGGATATTTAACGCTTACGACATTAAGAATGTAAAAGTGAAAAATAATTAAAAATTTTTAATTATTTTCTGTATTATAGTATGTAATATTATGGTATATTTATACAAAATAGATTTTTTATAATTATATTAATAGTGTATGAAAAATATTAGAAAACTAAATTTTTATTTATTATAAATAAAAAATATTAGCTTTTATCATAAAATAAATACTTATATTTATGTCTAATGTTAATCAATTATTATTTATAAAAAACGAACGTGGATTTAGTTAAAAATTTATAGTATTATATATTTTTCATTATTTTCGTTTAAATAGAAAATGTTTATTTAACAATGTATAACGATTATTCAATGCTTAATTTAATTAATTGTAATCGAAGAAACTGAATTTATTTGTATTTTATAAATATATGAAATTTAATGCAGTAATTATTGATAATAATAATCAGATAAAAGTGTTGCAATATAGTGCAATTTATATATAATTAATATTATATATATATATATATATATATATATATATATTTTTTTTTTATAAGTTTTAACGATAATTATAGAAGATATTTAAATCATTGTAATCGAATAATGTGCTGCAAAATTAATTTAATGATATAATATTGAATTAGAATCTCTTAGAAGCGCGTTCTATGTATGTTATTTAATATTAGTCAATTTATATTAATCGATTAAATAATAAGAAACGCTTAAGCAATTAGTTATCTTTTTAAACAGAAATGTCATCAGACTATCAATCTTATTATTTACTTAACGATATCCTCAAATATTAACGAATTTTTATATTTCTTAGTAGTTTTTAAATATTCATTATGTAAAGTCTGGATTTGATGTAATGAAGTAAAATCCAAATGACAAACCTTTAATAATAACAATATAACAATATTGTTATTAGGTAATAAATTTCATAATAAAATTTGTTTACTTTTTTCTGCTTTGTTAAATTATTGTTTTTAAAAACAAGTGTAAATATTTCTCAAAATTTTAAATTCAATCTTAAGCATTTTGTAAATATTATTTTCTTTCTCAAGCGTCGTAAATTCCACTAATTTTATACTCATATATTTAATATAATATACAATTATATGATACACTATTATATATTTTATTTGAAAAGAGGAAGAAATTATATTTATACTTCACCATGCTGTTAACAAGTTGTATGCCTATGTGTGTATACCTATGATTGAAAAGGGTATTTGATGATTAGGTAGAAGAGGAAAAATGAGTAACGCAGCCGTTTTATTAACGCATAGGTAAAATAAAGTCAGATATCAGATATTAGGTTAAAGCAAGAGAAAGAGAGAGAATTCGATGTGTGGGGAGGATGACGGTGGTAATGATTGCCAAGGCGACTAAATCTGAAATTAAATGTGTGTATTAGATTATGTGAAGGCGGGAATAATGTGCTCGGCTAAGAATAGTACAGGAATTAAATCACTTGGTTAATAAGACATTTTTCATAAGCAGAACGCAATCTCTTTGTTTTCTCATTGATAGCTAATATAGATTATTTTATTAACGAGTTGACAAAAAACAACAATAAGGATCAAAAGGTATACATACACCTTCTATTTAGTATTTATTTTTTCGATATATTTTAAAATATATATACAATAATTTGTATATTTTTAATTGTAGACTATATATTAAGGATTACAAAATTCTTTACATTAATAAAAGTAAATAAAACTATTATCTTGAAAATCTTATTCTTATTAACGATTTTATACTTATGCTTATGATACATCTTTATGATATATCAAATTTATTTGGAATGGTAATAGAAAATTGGAATCGATGTTGGTGGTATGGCGCATATGAAGTACATAAATCATTAAATCTTCAATTCATTCTTATAATTATTAAGAGGGCTATTGTATCGTTCATTTGGCATATTAAATAATGCATAATACTATAAATAATATTTCTTATAAGTTTTTTTTTTTTTTTTTTTTTTTTTTTTATGGATATTTTATAGAGGGTATTTTATAACTGTAAACGACTATATCATGTAGATTAAATATTAAATTATGATATATTATTATGTAATTTCATTCTTAATTCTTCATTTTCATTAATACTGCAGGTTCATTGTTTGTACAAGAACATCGAAATTTAAAGATATACTTAAACAATAATTTAAAATATATATCTAAATATTATGTTTTACATTGGAAATATTTGTACAATATTAAAATAATTGATTGTCAGTATAATATTTTAGTTAACTTGGAGAAAAATTTGATTATATATATATATATATATATATATAGATAGATATATGTCTAATTATTTGTCCAATTCTTGTTATTTACTATTAAATAATTTACTATTTTTATTATAATTATACTATAAATTTTAAGAACTGTTTGTTTTAAGAACTATTTCAATAACTAGTTATATTTATAAGAAAATTATAATTTTTAATAAGAACAATAATTCTTACGAATAATGAGAATCAAAGAATATATACATTTACTTTTTATCAATGATAATATTGAAAAATACAATAAATATTTGATAATAATAATGTAAGTTATCAGATTTCTTCAAGAAATTAATTAATTATGAATAATTTTATAAAATTTACAAATAATTTTTTTTTATATACAATTTATAAGGATTATATAAGTTTTAAGTACCTTAAGCTGTTAGATTACTCTGAATAGAGATATACATGTAGAATAAATAATAGATTAGTTAGAATGAAATAATGATAATATATAATAATTATAAATAATAATTATGAAAATTAATAAATTAATTTTTTTCACATTTAAAATTATTTATTATTATCTATTTGAAATTATTGTATGATTTGTGTGTAATATAATATCTATGAAATTTTACCTACATTTATCAAATAAAGATACACTAAATCTTATTGTTTCACATTTTTAATATTTTTGAATTATCATTATTATTTTTTAAAAAGAATCGCTTTTTAATACTTGTTTTTACCTATAGTTTTTCAGAAAATAAGAGCACGAAGACATTACCTACCGTCATGGCTATTCTAAAAGTAATTCATATATTCGAGCTTTTATGCATTTAATGAAGGCACGTCGACATCACTAACCGTTTTAAATATTTGTACATATGTCGTAATTAAAGATAAATACGTAAAATAAATTTACAAACAGTGCATTAAGAAGAAAAAAAATAACTAGTTGTGGATAACGAATAGATATTTTGCAGTAATTTATGTATTTGTTTGACTAATTTGCATAAGGTTGAAAATATAATTTCTTGTTTATAAATAAACAGAATTTAATTATCTTTCATTTGGAGGTATTATGTTAACAATCCTACATTTTCGAAATTGATATTCTTGTTAAAAAAAAAAAAAAAAAAAAAAAAAAAAAAAAAAAAAAAAATGCGTATTTAGAATCATATTTTTAAATTTACGATCTAATAATTCTTCTTTAACATACAAAAAACTGTACAAAAAGACTAAAATTTCTTTATTTCATGGTTTTCAATGACTTGGCTTCAAATGTCCATTGGTGCTACAAGAAAGACGCCTTTTATAAAGGCAATTAGCATTATTACTCATAATTTCATTGAATTTTAATATTTTATATTGAAATTTTTAGAAAATGTTGCTTAAACACCATTCAATCTAGTGATTAAATGGATAAAAACAAATATTAATATTTATAAAACAATATAATAATATTTATAAAAAAATTCAATCTCGGTCTTCCAATGTATTCAAATAACTCAATATATTCTAGTTCAATTAAGAATATCCTTTAACAATGTACGTTTAGTAAAAGAAATATATAATTAACTTACCTACTTGTAATACTATAAAGAAATAATACATTATTTGAAATTTCATACTAGTTTTTGTTTTCTGTACAGGAATAAAAAGTCTTTTAGCTCTTCAGTAATATGTACTTGCTTAATTAGCAAACCAAATGTCACAGTTATATAGTTTTTTTTTTTTTTTTTATATAATAATTGCTCTTATATTTATTCGACATTGAATATATTCAAAGATAAGAATAATAAGTCTAATATTTATATGTAAATTTAACTTTGATCAGAAATATTTGTTTCGTACAAAAATAATTTAAAAATAATAATTAAATAATTTTTTTAATAATAGAATCATTGATACATAATTATTAAAGATAGAAAAGTAATTGAAAAATTGTTAAAGATTTTTAATCAATTTTAGGGTAAATGTTAATTATTGTTTTTTTTTTTTCTATGAATTTCGTGGCTTATATTGTATATATATTTTATTATTGTACTTCCCCCCCCCCTCCTTTTTTAAAAAAAAATATATGCTTAAATATATGCTTTTTATTTGTAATTTTTCAATTTTGTCTATTTATATTTATATCAATTATATTTTTTGGATCATTGAACTAATTTTTTTTCGTAAATTTTATAATTTAACTATAATTACTATTCATTAAGAATCTATAAAAAGCTCATTTTGATAATTACTTTGAGATTATTCAAAAAAAAACAAGAAAAAAAAAAACAAAAAAAAACAAAAACAAAATTAATATTAGTAGAATATTAGTATAATAATGTATTATATCAATGTAAGTATAAATATTTTTTTAATTTAGGAAGTTTCAGAATTAAAATAATAAAATTTCAAAGTACAATACTACGTACTAATGTATAAACTATTATAATACTGTGACTATACAAAAAATTGTAAAATAAAATTTTATTAATTGTATTAATTATAATTTTTACATAAACATAAATCATTTTTTAAAAATGTTATGGAAAAACATATATATATATATATATATATATATATATATATATATATACATATTCGCAATGATAATCGATACTCTAAGTATTATAAATAAATTTTTGCATGCAAAAAATCAATTTAAATCTGTATATATTAAATTAACTTATTCGTTAAAATAATTATTTCATTAATGATTTATAAGTCTTATCATAAAGATAAGATTATAATTTTGAATCAAGTCATTTATTTACCTCAAACACATGAATTTATTCATTAAATAAATATTATTATTAAACATTCTGTTTCTAATGACGCTATTATTACATGTATTATTATAGATATTATTTTATCTTTTATCGCACGGGATTATATTATTTCCATTTATTTGATTACCTACTTTATTAAAACGAATAGAGTGTAAAGATGGAAAATAGGCTATGTATTCAGTAATTTATTTTGATGGCGACGGCATTAATATGTAATAGTTGCTTTGTGTATATTTTGCTAAATACTTTTTAATCCGTATCGTTAAATATGTCAATATTTGCAGAAAAGCAGTTTAATTATTTTAATCTATAATAAATCGATAATAAATTGTTCAACAAAAATTGTTTAATAACGATATGTATCATTATAATGAATGTATTAATGTATTTTTTTTTCGTTTAATTATTAACTTATTAATTATGAAAACGAAGAGAAAAGTATTTGATAGATAATATTTGCATAGATAATATAATTAATTTTAGAAATCACTTGATATAGTCCATTGGATCATATTTAACCTCAACTTAATAGCCAGATTTATATTAATTTTTTGCATGCAAAATTTATTTAAAATATTGCATAAATTAAAAATGAGATTTTAATGTATTTCAAATATGTTTCAATTAACCTTTGACCTCCGATCTATAAAAGCAATCTTACCCTAAAGAAATTTCAACACAACAAAATATCGCAAAATTTTTAATTTTATAAACTGGCTCCTACAACCATTATAATTATCAATTCATCTTTTAAAAACTGTATTATCGTAAAGAAATAACTAATTCTTACTATCATTGATTATAATTTAAAATTGTGTTTGCATTCTATTTCAGGATCAACAATTTTTTTTATATTTTTTCTATTAGTTCCCATACTCTTTTCTATCCGTGGCACACATTAGTCCCGCCTTCACACCATCCAATACACGCAGTTAATTTGAGATTTAGTCAACTTGGCAATCATCTATCCCCGTTACGTTTCATCCAAATTTATTTTCGACTTGTGGTTTAAGTTAAACAAAAAATTTACATTCGCCTCTTAGCTGGCTAAGCATAATTTTTGCGCACATGTTGCATACGTTGTTGAATGCACTCCTTATCATGCTATCACAGTCTATGAAATATTAAATTTTGTGCTTCTTTATATTACTGTTTCGCGTATATATGACCTTGACTTTGGCAAGCCTTGATTTATGTATGGCTGGAGTTTTCCACTCGTTTCCCACGTAGTCTTCTTGAAATTCAACTTTCTTACAGATCAATGATTATTTTACTTCGCGTTAGCATGATGGGCAAGTGACTCTTCTTTATTTCTCTTCTTTCTTTCTTTCCTTCTTTCCTTCCTTTTATTATTTTCCTATTTAATCAAATTGAAAGTGGGTAATGGCGTTGAAAATAATTGAAAATAAATATGTTTACTGGCTTCGTCTTGTGACACTTAATATAATTAACCAACAAACTTTTAACCAAAACCAGTTAAATTAAATTTAATAAAAAAAATATTAGTATAATAAATGTATAATGAGACGAATTTATAAATTTGATTTAGAAGAAGAAGAAGAACAACCAAGTGTTCGCCTACCATTACACAAGATTTTGATAATTTTTAACGAAGGACGGGCACGACAATAATTGTACAAGTTTATTTAAAAGCGAATATTTTATATTAATGAGTATAAAGCTGCAAAAGATTTTTTAAAAGTGCTGCAAGACTTATTTTTTCAGAACTGGATTGTTTTATATTATATTAAATTTCGCATGGCTTTATTTAATTGTATTATATGAGTATAATTAGGTGTTATTATACTTATCAATTACTTTTTCTAAATGATTTCTTTGCTTAAGATATTCTAAAATATATTTATACAACATTATATTTTAGGGATCATGAAAATGTCACATTAAACGTGTTAATCATGAACTAATTTATTAAAAATATTCAATATTGACGAGCTATCATTTAAAAATCTTTTACTTCTTTGTTTAAGAGTATGAATATATTAATTATATTAATGTCGCTCAAGAGAGGATTTCAACAAACAAAAAAAAAAAAAAAAAACAGGCTATACAATATCGTGAAATGGATTTTTAATGGAAACAATTATTTTGCACATATTTTGAAAAATAATCTTCTTAATGTCTTTAAATAAATAAAGATGAAAGAGCACTGAATGCAGCAAAAGTAAATAAAAATTTAGTCTAACCTGATTTTCATATTTAAAAAATAAAATAAACCTTATAAAATAAAATAACATATAATAATCCTTATATAATAATAATAATAATAATAATAATAATAATAATAATAATAATAATAATAATAATAATAAAATAACTACTTACTTATTTCATAAATTGTATAATTTAAAATAATAATAATCGTTAGAAATATAACGTTAAGAAATATAATTATAATATTAAGAGATACACGAGCCAAAATACTTTCATAGTTTATAAGAAATTTTTATGACATTATTGGTATATTGTTTGTATGTGTGCTATAGAAGCCTTTCGTGTCACTCATTTTGTATAATACATTTTGTGCAATTAATTATAGGCCAATTGTTAAATAAGGAATATGAATATTAATTGTTAACAGAGTTTGGATCGCTTAAATATATTCATTCCTCATAAATTCTTTTCATTTTATATCTTATAATTCTAATTTATTTCGTGTTATCTAATGATCATGAGATTTAAGAGTATTCGTGATTTAATACAAATAATCCTCGTATATTCTGACATTTGAACTTCAGTAAAGACTCGATGTATCGATACACTTTACTTAATAATGAAATATTTATTTAAAATTTTATTTCCACACTTGTTTACATTTTTACAGAAATAGTTTTAATCTATTATAACGAGTACACACATATTTTATATTTTATAATGTTATATTTAAGTGTATATAACATGCTTTAACAATTTATTAATTTTTTTATGAAACTGATAAGCTTTACATTATTTTTTTTATTTTTTTTTTTATAATATCTGCCTTTATATTCCAAACACGTTTTTCCTTACTTTATAAAAAATTAATCAAATACAACTAATCTGTCAATAATTCAATAAAACATATTTTACATTCAATATGACATATAAAATATTTCTCTTTCTTTTTCAATCTACAATCTTTGGTAAATAATCAAAAGTAGTATAAAAAAAATTTTTGTTTTTTTTGTTTTTATTATAAAATTATTAAAAAGAGAGCTTTCTTCCTTAGTTAACAACTATCGTTTTATCGATACGGAAGCAATACTTGGTACTCGATATGTAAAATCAGTGGATGAGTATGAATTTACTTCTATTGCTTGTCTTATGAGAAATATACCAGAAAATGAAGTAAATCGGAATATTTATTGCACCGCAACATTTATTTCGTTAACCCATCTGCTATCCACTGCATCCTGTGTCGATGATAACGGAGAAATAGGTTTTGTTGTTAATGCCGGATCACATGATGTTAGACTTGGTCACATGTATTCTCCTTTATGGTGGCTGACGTATGACAAATTTGCTGAGATATATAAATTACCCTATAATCATCCTCAAAATGATATTAGCATTATAAGAGTAAATTAATAACTAAATAAAACAATAATAAGCGCAATATTTAAATTTACTTTGATTAATTTATACGTAAATGGCAATTTAAACATTTATTCGCAGTTAGCAGAGCCGGTTAACAATATTACTCCCGCTCCAATTTCCAAAGTCGAACCAGACAATTTGAGTGGACAAAAAGTCAAGATTTTGGGTTGTGGTCTCTCTTGTGCTGGAGAACCATCGATGATTAAGATGAAGGCCAACGTTAAAATTATGTCAAATATGGAGTGTTCGTATAAGGATTTGTCACATCAGGAACAAATAAATCCTATGCCAAAATATTTGCTGTGCTCTTCTTATGAGCCAGGCGTCCTTCTAGCCACAGTAAGTGATGATTATAATTGGAATTAATTTTAAAGTGCAAAATATTTACCAGCAATATTTATATATAAAATTTTGAGTCAATTGAATAATATATATATATATATATATATATATATTCTATTGTGAAATGAGCAATTTAAAAATTTTAATTTGAAATCTTAAATCAATAAATAATGTGGTATTTCGATTGTTTATAAAATTTAATATAACAGATTGATTAAAATATCTCTCACAAAGATAATGAAAGAAAACATGTTTTCCATAAAAGAAGAAAAAAAATTAATTTATATATATTTTTTTATATACCTTTCCCGCTCTATAATTTTTATACATCAGTATGTGTGCGTGCGAGTGCGCGTGCGCGTGTGTATGTATATATTAAAAAACTGTACATTAAATCTCTTTCTACATGCATGAATTTTATTTTCTCCCTAATTGAGTAGAAAATAACTTAGATAACGTATCGCATAAGAAATATAGGTAAATTATACACTATATATTTTATAATATATAATTGTTTATTAAATGTAAGTATTTATTTTAGGGTGACTTTGGTGGTCCACTTTTACTTAATGGAGAAATTGTGGCTGTCAATATTGGAGCAACTGCTGCGGTAGGAGAGACGACGGAACTAAAAAGGAAAAATTATCATTTGTCTATCGAAGATTACCAATATTTTATTGACTTTAATTTATGCATATAGTAGATTGTATTTAATAAATAATTTTTAATCAAAGTACTTCTGTTCGCTGTGTAATTAGAATACAAGTATTAATTTATAATATATTTTGAACGATGCATTATTTAACTTTTGACAATCGCCCATTAAGAGAATCATGGATTTCGGATTATGCAATTTATAGAATTTAACATATAACTTAAGAATGCCTTTGGCAATATATTGTATTGAATGAGTAAATTAAAAAAAAAAAGAAATGAAGATTTTATCGATAGGATTCAATAATTATTTATTTATCAATGATAAATGCTTACGTTTATGCTGACCTTAAGGAAAATCCAAATTTACAAAATAATTGCTTATTAAGATAAATTCTAATTTCTCTCTCTTGTATTTAAAGAAAATAGTAATTATTATTATAGATATACTAGTATAAATAATTGAGTACTCAAGTGAGGAAAAATTAATTAAATCTTAAAGGTTTGTAATATTTAAAAAATAATTATATCGTATGTTTATAAGTATAAATTAGTTGTTTGCCTAAGTTAAGCAGAATTAATTTGTTAAATTGATTCACTATAGCTATAATCGCATAGTTAATGTTATATAAAATTTTGTAGAAAAAAATACAATTATATAATAAATCTTGTTAATTATAAAATGCACGGTAAACACATGAAAAACGTGGAGATATTTTGGAATTTTTCAATTAAAAAAAAAATCATTTGTTCAAAGCATTTGTTTCGTAATACTGTAACCAAAAAATAATAATGCGATCGTTTTTTAATCGTAATTATTAATATTCTTTGTAAAATTTGATATTATCAATATAAAATTATGATGTAAAAATTCAAATATAATTAATTTTATTTTATACAGTTATAAATGATCAAAACAATTTTCTATGTAAAAATATATAATAAAAAATGTTATTATAAATACAAAATTAAAATTATCGCCATTTTATTATTTCAAAATGATAAATGTTTTTAAAAACAATAAATTTTTCTTCTGACATTCTATTGTAATTTTTTTTTCGTCTCCTTATTTTAACTAATACTTTTATGTTTACTTGTTTATAACAAATGGGCAGTAAATTGTACTATTAAACATTTTTTTTTTTTTTTTTTTTTTTTTTTTACGAATAAAGTACAAGTAATATCTAATGAAAACACGAGTTATTTAATGTATTAAGAAATTCAAATGAGTTTTGCATTATTCGATCGAGAAAATTAATAATTAATTCTAAGATGCAGTAAAAAGTATTTAGTTATCTTTATTCTTCGTTAGAATACATAATGATTGAAAAACATTGTAAAGTTTAATGTTAAATTTGTAATAATATGTGGATAAATTGCGTTAAGAATACCATGAGATTATCATTTTTATAAGAGTATTTGATAATGAAATTAATCATTAATATTTTATTGCATTATTCAAATTTTAATGCTAAATTTGTATGTTAAATTTAAGAGAAATATTATAAAAATTAGAAAATATAAGTGACAAGTGACGCATATTTGCAAGAATAAAATCGTTATTTTAAAAGAATTTTTAATTATAACTTTCATATTGAGTAATTAACATTCCAGTTGTTTTTCTTAATTTAAAGTGTCATTCGCTATTATATATATACCGATACATTGTTTCTAGCAATTAATATTACGATAAAAGCGTATAAAAATAACTAATGTTTCTTACGATTTACATGTAGTATAACAAATTTTTACTCTACACCAAATCTTAATATTTTTGCTCAAAAACATATTATATATGTGTGTGTGTGTGTGTGTGTGTGTGTGTGTGTGTGCGCGCGCGCGCGCGCGTGTATTTTAAAACTTATTAATAAAAATGAATAATTCGACAAGATTACATTTTATAATATTAATTACAGTTATTCAATAGATTTTGTTTTAAATATTTAATATTTGTATATTTTAAAAAAAAAAAAAAACAATATTGTTCAATAGTAATTTAAAAAATATGCATGAAAAAATATTTGTTCATACGTTAAGAGTTTAACGACTGCTTAACGATGTATGATAAATTTTACAATATTTACACTAATATATATTTTATTGTATGAAAAATATTATTTCCTTCTATTTATATTATATAAGAATAAAAAATTTTTGTACCTTGTACATTGAATTTTTCATAAATATTTTTGGCAATATGAAGCTATTAATTTTACACGTTCTCATTCACTTTGTAATATTTGGTAAGCTAAAATTAAATAAAAATTATTATACAGTATTGTTGTAAATGCTGCTAAACACTTTTTAGGAGGGAAATATTATTCTACAAGCGCAAATCCACTGACAGGCGAAAGGATAAAACTCTTAACAAAGAATGAATTTTCTTCCGCTGCATGCCTCTTAAGAAAGACTAACGATAATTTATTAACTATTTTTTGCACGGCAACATTCTTTACGACTTCTGATCTTGTAACAACTGCTAGCTGCTTGCAATTATTTGAGACAGAGGGTTTTTACGTACAAGCTGGCTCTCATGATGTAAGGCTTGGTGAATCATACGAACCGACATGGTGGATCACGTTCGATCAATATATTGTCAAATACAATAAAACGAAACTGCATGATCATAATGATATTGGCGTGATAAAAGTAAATTAATATTAAAATATTAAGTGTTGCCTGCTTGAATCGTTTGGATTATCATAGTTACATTAAGCTTTTATAGACGTGTTATAAGTTGGGCATTTTATAAATTGGCAACGGATGAATATCGTTTTGAAGAATAAACCGTAAAACTTCTTTTAGTTACCTTTTTCTGCGAGATTCGTTACTCCGTCACCTCTCTCGCAACTAAGCCCGAGCCAATTAATCGGCAAAAAGGTAAAAGTGATCGGATGTACGCCTTGTTATTCTAATCCTTCAGAGCCATTGACGATCAAAAAGAAGGCACACGTGAACATTTTATCCAACGAAGAATGTCTAGCTAAGGCGATGAAAATTCGCGAACAAAATTGGTGTATTCCTGAATATGTATTGTGTACGAGGAACAAGCCACATGCCATTATGGATGATGTAAGTCTTATTAATTGTATGTAAATGATAAATTTTTTATCAATTCAAGAGGAATTATTGTCGCAATCTATTCACATTTAGAGCACAAAGAATTATCCATCTATGTAGAATGGAATTTCATTCGTATAAAATTCATCAAGTTTCATCAATGATAATTCGATATCAATAAGATTTTATTAAATTCACAAATTAGAATGAAATTATTACAAAATATTGATTTATATAGCTCTTAGAGTAAACCATCTAAACAAAATATATTATAACGTATTACTTTGAAACGTAATAAAGCTATCTGAGAGAAATCCTTTATATTTAGCTTTAATTATATTTTCAGTTGTGATTGAGAGAGAGAGAGAGAGAGAGAGAGAGAGAGAGAGAGAGAGAGAGTAATCAAAATTTCATACTAATTGCACTTCAAAATGATCTTCTACATTGTAGCATTGAAAAACAAATAGATTATTTACTTTATATTTTAATTTTAATTTTTAATTGGTAATTTTAGATTTTTTAACTGAGTACGCGATTGGTAGTTGTAAATTTTCTAACAAATTATTCTGCGTAAATTTCATTAGAAATTCTATGAAAATTAAAATGTAATTAATAATTTCATACGATATTAGCCAATCATACTGAATTGCACGTTTCGTGTCGCTAAAATTAAATTATTTTCATAATAGTTATAAATTAATAACATTATTAAATCATTTTTTATTTTTAGCCTGACCATGGCGGACCACTTATACTTAACGGTGAACTTTTAGCAATTACGTTAGGATTAATGTTTTTTGAGGAAAGCACAGAAGATAAAAAGAAAATTAATCTTCATTTAAGTATTCACGATTACAGAGAATTTTTTAAGTTTAGTGAGCAATTGCAATAAATTTGCATTTTTTTCCTTTTGAAAACTATTGATTATTTTGTTTATTACCATCGAATATCGTCTCATTACATTAAGAACTTTATACAATTTTGTAGAAAATATGTTTTTCTTCCTATTCTTATAAATTATTAAAATAATAAATTATTTTACATTAAAAAAATTTGCAGTTTTAATAATTCTGACGATTAATCTGCTTATAAAAACTTTAATTAACATTTAAAACTATTTAATAAATAAACTTATATATATATATACACACACCTTATTTATAGTTGAATAGATGATTTTCTTAATTTACTTATGATTATACGAAAACTCTATGTCTTGCAAATGTTTATTAAAAATTTTGATTCGTCAAATCAGGCTAATCTTGCTAGACTAAAATGAAAACATGAAAGTTTTTTGACTAATTTTCACAGAAGATATTAATTTTACTACATTGTATCCTATATTATATTATGATTATGCTTCATTCAACTCATTCCGGATGTGCTTATAAATAAAAAAAAAAAAAAAAATTATACACTTGTTGCGCAGAAAGCTTTCTAAGCATAAGCGCGGCTCGCCACTCTTACATACGCTTATGCGTGCGAATATACGTGTTACATACTGTTACATAGAAATTAATCGAACCGACCAAAATAAGATTGATCGTTGATCGATGTAGTAACTACACGTGCACTAAGCTACGCTACACCAAGAGGTTAGGTAATATATATTCACATAGCGTGTATGTTTAGGTACTGATACGTAATTGCGTTGGTTGTAAATGAGAAAAAAGTGAAGAAGAGATGTCAAACTAAGCGATCGAATAGTGGATTATAAATGCTTCGATGATTGCGTAATAAATAATCTATGCCTACGACAACGAGAATTGTAGATATGTAGTGTGGCTTTCGAGTTTTTACAGTAAACGACATTGCGAGTTTATCATTAGTAAAGGATCCACTTTTTATTATTTCCGTAAGTACAAATTGACTTTTTGTACTCGTGCATAAATTATAATCTAATTACATATACAGAATATAATAGATAATAATAGATACAATATAATTATATGTTAAAATTATATAACAATATATTAAACTAAATATGCGATGTTTCACTTTTTATTCGTATATCTTTATATTCCTTTCCTTCTTAATTCTTAACAGTGAGAGAGGGAGGAAGAAATAGAAGTAGTAAGAAACAATGTAGCTTAAAGATAGTATAAAATTAATGATCAATTCGTAAAATATAGATATTATGTGGCATTTATAATTTTGTTTAATAATCTATAATACGTAATAGTAATCGAAAGAATGAGAAAATGTAACAGATTCAACTTTTCTTCAATATTATCATTATAATACTCCATGTAACAGTATTTTGTTTACATTGACAATATATATATATATATATATATATATATATATATATATATATATATATAGTTTATATATAGAAGATACAATATAGTTGAAAATGGGATAAAGTAAATTCGTGCAAAGGCATTGATATACTGATAATACACTTACTACAAAATAGGAATATAGAAAATATTATCGTTATCCGATTTTTTTATATCGTGAGAATTATTATTTATTGTTGTGTAAAAGGAAATCTGACCGAGTCACTTATAGTTTTATAGTTAAATAAATCTTGTTTGTTTGAACGAAATGTAGTCAGAGGGAACGGATATTAATAAATATATAAAAATGAATTTTTAAATATTAAGTTGAAAATTATTCACGCAATAAGTTTTCATTCGCTAATTGCTTTAATGCCTTAAATGCTTAATTATTCATTGAACTAAAATTAAAGTCCGTTAAATTTTTTACCGATAAAGAAACGGCAAAACTGAAATTTTTCAATGCTCATCGAATTTATATTTGATAAAATAAGGTCACTTGCTATTCAGATTATAAATTTCTAGAAATTACGTTTCCTTAGTACGATAAATAAAGTTATGTAATTTTGTGATTTTTAAATAATCACTTATGGTTATATAAATGTAGTTAACGAGAGGTATTTAAATGTTTTGCAAATATTCATCCATACATCGTTAAATATTCTGTCAAATTAATTTATTTTACATTCATAAAGAATTTATTATAACGTTAATTCAAATGGTATACTATCGAAAAAAAAAAGAAAAAAAAAACTTAAATAATTGAGAAATTTGATTATTTTTTTAAATTCGGGCTCATTGTAAAGCACATAAATAAATCATATGAAATAATATTCATAAATTATATGAAACGACAATATACATTCATGTATCTAGACATTCCATGTAGAAAGGAACCCTAGGTATTATTAAATGTATATACATTTATTTAAATAAAATATCATTTTCAATTATATATACCATATATATATATATATATATATATATATATATATATATTTATATGTAAACTTAACCTCATTAAATTAATATTTTTGTATCAATAGATTATCGGACATACTATACGTACGAGATTATCGTCAAATCAGTATTTGCTTTTATTTTATTTTATTTGATGTTCTGATGGACATTAATGATATTATTAATACTGTGAATGTAGTTAATATTATAAATAGAATAGATATATACTGCACTTTTAATACGATAATGAGCTTTTGAAGAATGACTGAAATCATTTTTATGAATAAAATATTAATTTATATTATTTATAAGAATTTAACGAGAGCTATATCGGAGTATTTTAAACAAATAGTATATTCTGCTTATTAACAGTTAAGACTTCACTTTTATAGGAAATATTTATTTCTTTTAATCTTTTTTCAGATTAGAAAATTAATAAGCGATCAATATCTTAGATATAAGGATAATCGTTATAAGGAGAAAGTGTAGTCTATTATTGTGTAATATAATTTTGATTCATTATAAAAGTATTACGTAAATTTGAGTTTTAATATTATTCAAGATTATTAAGATTAATGTTATTATATCTTTAACGATAATTTACAATAATCTTATATTTATTATTGCATTTATCATGCTGTTCGTACATTATACCAAAGTAATAGATTAACGTATTTTTATATAATTTATAAAGCTAAGAGTGAAAATTGCATCGTAAATTTGAATATTCAATATATTTGGCAGATTATACAATTTATATATTTAAAAAAATATAAAACATGAAGATCGTTTGGAGATTGGGAATTGTGCTGCTATATCCATTACTAATAAAAGTGGTAAATATACAATCATATATGGATTTTAAAATGATATTATATTGATTAATGTGATTAAAATTATATTTTAAGCCTCCGAATACATGCTCGCTAAGTTATACTGCGGCAGTTGTCGAATACACTCCGATTTATAAATCGGACGAACAAGTTAATATAGCAAATTTGAACACAAAGCATTATATAAAAATTATAGAGAAAGCCGTTGAATACGTATGTATTTCATGAATATATAAATTTTTTTAAATATTTTTGTCTTATCGTAAAAAATTCTTATTTAAACGATGCGCAGGTCATAATTGGATAATTGATTTCGTTTATTTAATAATTATAAAAATTTATTATGCTCATATAGATTGATAAGATAACAAAATATATTTCTATAAATATAACAAAGTATATTGTGCGTAAGAGAATATTAGATTCATTTTTTAAGGATCATTGATGTAAGATATAAAAATATATTTTGTTGATTTGATTTTCCTAAAGTAAATAATTAAATTTTTACTTGGAATGTAAAACAAAATGATTTAAGCACTCAATACATCGAATTATTAATATGAATTATATTTTTGAAAATTTGAAACAGAATATTATATTTTTTTTTTTTAAACTTTTTTAGCACATTTTACAATAATGCATATTATATTAAATACATATTACTTCTTTTTTTTCATTTTCTTTTTTTTTTTTTTTATTTCTTTTGTTATTATTCTTCAACAATGCCTAAGATTCGTTTAGTTAATTTTATCGTTATTTACATTATCCACTAATAATGCAAATAAGTACAAATATATTTATATTTGCAGTCTGTCGATATTTTAATATTTCCTGAATCGAGCTTATCAATTTCCAATTCGAAAAATTTAACGGTTCGACGAAGTGAAGCCGCTTCTTATATTCCAGATCCGCAAGATAAAATTGTTCCTTGTAACGATGCGAATAATTATCCTGATGTAAGCTATAATACGGTTTAGAATTATGTATGCGTGCGCATATGATATACGATATAAATAAATATGAATAATGAATAATTAGATACATTTTCATCCAATATCTACAGTCTCTAAAGAACATATCATGTGCGGCATTAAAGCATAAGTTATATATAGTGATAAATCATCGTGAAAAATTTGATTGCGTTGGAGATAATTGCTCGGACGATGGCTTGCTCATTTATAACACTAATGTCGTTTTTAATCGAAATGGTGAGGTTATTGCTAGATACAGGAAGTACAATCTGTTTGGTGAGCTTGATACAAACAGGACGCTGGAACCGATTATCTCAACTTTTGAGACTGACTTTGGCGTCACTTTTGGCCAAATCATCTGCTTCGACATTATGTTTAAAACGCCGACGCTAAATCTTGTTCACGATTTGGGAATAAGGGATATTATATTTTCATCACATTGGTATTCAGAAATGCCGTATTTATACAGTGTTCAACTACAAGCAAGTTGGGCATTTGCCAATGACATAAATCTGCTATCTTCTGGATATAATAATCCAAAAACTGCTAGCGGAGGTACAATATTCAATAATATTTATTATATACAAGGATTGTTTGTAAAGTAGATATTTCGTTGACACTTTGCCTTTAAATTTTTAATAATATTAATACGTTGGGAGAGCGCATAGTCTAATAACCATATACAGACAGACAATATGCCAGACAATATTAATAGATAATAATGTAGATGTGAACTCTGAAAGATTTTTTATTGTAAGTTGTATCAATAATTTTATATAAAAATATTAATGGCTATATACGTGGGAGTGAGCAAAGTTAAACTTATTCAATATTCAATTGATACTGTCTATTCAACATTAATAAAAGATTACTATATATTAATCGGAATACAAAATTATATTCTCGATTTGACTCTAGGCTACATAAAAAGAGATTTTTTATTGTTTAATCAGAAATAATATATTAATAAATATCTTACATTGGATGTCGATGATAAATGTACTAATTGCGTTATGAGATCAATTCTTTTTAATAAAAAAAAATCAAATTAATATTATCACTTTATTATTAAAAGTCGATAAATAAGCTGATCAAATGCTTTATAATAAATATATTGTTAAATTTTTCTTTTACAACGCATATAAATGTAGCATTGACGATGAATTTCTTTTATTTGCTATTATAAACAATTTACGCTACTCAAAATGTATGGCCGTAAATATTTATGCAGTTCTTAGAACAATATAAGCGACCTTTGTTTATAATAACAATAATGTAAGTGAAGAATTTGCAAAAGAATTTACACGGGCAATGTGTACGTGTAATGTTGTGGGTACGTTGTCGCAACGTTGTAGAAATAGTTAACATTAAATAATAATAGAACGGATAATATAAATGGCTATAAATAATATATTAAGTATATTAAATTTATTAAATAAGTTAAGTATCTCGTTATTAATAATGATAAATGCGCGACACACCAATACAAATCTTTACTTTTTCATTAATTAAAAGATCGTTTAATATACCTTTTGTTATTTTTTAAATTAACTTATTTTCTGCTACAATCAATAATTGCGCTTTCGGTCGGGCTTAAAGATACGAGTGTAGCATTTGTAAATTATCATTAATAGGGAAGTGATTGATTTATTGAATTTTAATGTAAAATCACGATGTTATAAAGGATTTAATAAGAAGATAAAGTTTGAAGACAACGATCATATTTTCCAACGATGCATTTTTGAAAACTTAGAAGGGCTAAGAGTGGTAGTTTGGCCTCGTTACGTTACGTTTCTCCCGAATCCATTGATTTAAAAGATAGATAAAGAAGAAAAATGCATTGATCGCGTAAAAAGTTTTATTGCTCTTTTATTGTCAGAGAATCGCTGGGGATCTTGAAAGTATCGATCGATGCCGGAAGTAACGTCAGGTCACAATATAGAAATGATCGTTACGCCGCTGCGTGTCTCGATCGAACAAATGACATTCATTCACCGCGGCGCTTTAAATTAAAAATTTTTTATATTAGACATTGATTTTTTCCCCTTCTTTTCCGTTAATTGGATTTGTACTTTGATTTTTAGCAGCTCACCAACTCACTATAAATCGTGCTGTTTATCAATAAGCTTAATAATAATAATAATAATAATAATAATAATAATAATAATAATAATAATAATAATAATAATAACAACAATTATAATCGTTTGTTTCATGTACACGCGCGCATGCATATGATTGCATGTAATTAATTATATTTTAATTTAATAAATAAAAGAAAAATCTCTTTTTCAGGCAGTGGAATTTATATTGGTCGAAACGGATACGTCAAAATTATTTTGGAAAATAAGAGATCTAACGTTCTTTTTGTATCGGAAGTTCCAAAAGTCATTGATGGAAAACGTCTATTAAATATTAATGCTGAAAGGGTCAAAATTTATAATTTCTCCAAATCCGAAATTAGTACGACAGAGCCTGATGTCTATGAGAAATATTTTCACCTTATTGATGATCTTAATCCTTATACTACCGAATTAATTAATACGGAATCGAGATTGAGCTCTTATGAGAAAACAATATGCGATCGGAATGTCTGTTGCGAATTAAAATTAAAATTTCAATTTCATAAATCTACGGCTAATAAGAGTTCTTCTAATTATTATAGGTAATTATACTTTAGACATTCGATATTCGATCAGATAAAATCTTGAATATCTCGTGTTCAATAATAATTCTAAATTTCTTATTATAAAAATTGCAATTTCGTAATTATCTTTATTGTCCTTAAAAGCCAATGTAATTATACAAATACAGTTTTACAAATAGTATAAATATAGTTTTGGTTTGATTATTTACATTATTGTTGAAATGAGATAAATCATTTTCGGACGCTTAAATTTTTGTTTTCTTATTAAAAAATTTTAATAAATTGATTGTCCGCGATGGAATATTTTCTAGATAGACTGTAAATTACTTCTTTCATATAAATATGGAGATTGGAATAAAAAATTCACTATGAATTGCTCTTTATTTTACCGGTAAATTTTTCAAAATAATTAAAATTGTAATATTAGCTATTCTTATGATTTTTATGAAAAATATGTTGAATAATTGATATGACTTATATTTGCATTTCGTTTGGATTACCGATATTCCAGATACCGAGCAGCTGTTTTTAATGGGACGCGGACTTTTAGTGGTTTTGCAACTGGTGGCGTTACAGTTTGTGGAATAATTTCTTGTATCAATAATACTCTGCGCAGCTGTGGAAAAATATTTGATCAAAATGTATATGCTGACGCATCAACGACTTTTCAGTCGATAAACATTTCAATGAAAAATATCGATTCTCAAAACAATATAATTATGCCAATAAGCATTGCAAAAAATATGCTACCATTAAACGTAACCGATTTCACATTTCAATCTGTGAATCTTAAAAACACTACGACTTACAATATGAATTTGCAAAATCCAAGGGATGATTTACTCACTTTTTCTATTTATGGACGAAATTTTGATTTGGATTCGTTAAATAAAACGGGCATTGATTCGAAGTAACATTTACAATTTACAACAGGTATTGGAAGAAATTTTCTAACGATAAGTGCATTGTGGATACGCAAGCGTACGCATATAATAATGACATGGCTTAGTTTATTTTTTAGATAATGCGAATAGAATTATATTTTTTTATTTACGTATTTTTATAAATATATTCTATATTAATGACAATATAATTTTCCATAGTGAATTATTATCACATGTAATTATAATCTCTCTTTCAGATCATTAATTATGGAAGTTGAATCGACATGTAAACGTGTTGATTTGTATTAATAGAGCATTAGTAAATATGAATTAATAAAAATTTCATTCGGCCATAATGGTAATTTGAAAATATATCCATTCGGACGATCAATTACTAGTGAATTTATTTCAACGTCTTAAAACGTATATGTACATCGAGTTATGCTGTTTAAATAACTAATAATTTAATGATCAATATTTAATAAAACTAATTGAATTTTATTTTACAATGTTCTAGGCAATTTATTTCATTACTTAAATTCTACGTTACAAATTAGAAATTATTTTACACATATATATATATACAAAAATTGTCAGAAACAATAATCCGATTGTACTAAATTAAAATTGTTTTTCCAGAATTTTATTTATGCTGATTCGTTAGTGCTGATCACACTACTTAGTATCTTGGAATTTTAAATTCCGGTGCCCCATCGTTACTTATCGGTTTTCTCTTATTCATAATATTTTGGATTTTCTGCCATTCACGATCTAATTCGGCTTTCTCATTTTTTTCTTTATTATACTTTCTTGTTCTTCTGCCATCAGCCATCTTAACTCCGTATTGGAATGCTGCCTTTGGAAGAGCCTCTTTGTTATTCATATATTCGCTGTATTCTTCTGGTGTATCAAAGTCCCAACGTCCAATGGGTCCTTTTTTATTTCCCAAATCCATTTTTGTATAATCAACTTCATCATCCGAATCGTCGATAGCATCTTGCATTTCATCTAACCCAGGATAGCACTCTGCATAGCCTTCTGGTTCTGCAGCTAATTTGTCAAGTAGCGCACCTTTTCTTTGCATCGCATCAGAAATAGCAGCTACTTTCGCAACAGCTACTACTATAAAAGTAATAATGTGTGATTTGTAATATTTAAATAATTATTATCTAAACAAAGAATTCAAAGTATATATACAAATATATATATATATATATATATATATTTCTTTTTTCTCTGTTATATTGTTTGAATTTATAACTGCAAGTTAAGAAGAACTTTTTCTACCTTATTGCTATTCTGATTATTAACGGGATACATTTTTAGCTTTGTGAATAAGAAATAAATTATTTACCTGCAGGTTGTATTCCAGATGAACTTGGTAATCTTGGAGCATTATCCTTTTCAGTGATATCAGGTAAAGGCTTGTCAAAGTAAGGTTCCTTTTTTTTAGGTTTCAATTGATTAGGTTCTGATTTAGTGAGCGTCGGTACGTAATCACCGATATCACCATAAATACTGTCGTCTTGTATTGTTCTTTGAGGAGCCAATTCCATATCATTGAAATCTTCTACTCTAGGCCGTCCATCTTTATTTTTTTTACCCTTTTTGCCATGTCTGTTACCCTGCCTTAGATATGATAAAATTTGTGCCAATTTGTTAATAACTATGTCGTTTGTTGTCAAAGTAGGAGTATTCTCAATTGTGGGGACATCCGCTTTACTTCTAATCAATGTTGTTGGTATATCTACTTCTGCATTTTCATCATCTAATTCGATAACATACGCCATTCGTCCAGGTGTAAAAAGTTCATTTCTCTCAATTATTTTTGACTTCATAATAGTAATTGTTTTATGTATATTACGAGCTATTTTCGTTTTAAATGGCATTTCGTCATCTTTTTTCTCAATTTCCTTTTTCTCTTTTATTTTTTCTTTAGGTTTAACAAGCTTTTCCATTTCTTGCTCTTGTTCGTATTCTTTAGCTTCAATTTCACTTCTCACCTGATTTTATCAAACGTACTTATTATTTAATTTAATTTTTTAAATATATTAATAAATATAAAAATAAAATCCTTAGCTTTAATATAATGAAATCCGTAAGGACTGCATTGAATAAAGAACTCTATTTAAAAGGGAAAACAATCCAATTTTTATATTAAAATACCTTTTGTAACAATGCATAGTCGAGACCTTTCACCAAGTGAGTATGTTCCATGTCACCACCCAAGAATTTTGACTGCTGTATCATTTGTCTTCTACGTTCTGCGGCATCTAAGCCAGATTTCAAATCTGGCGCAACAGCTCGATACGCACTAGCATTTGTTATTGGGTCTTCGACCGTATCCTGATTCGTTCCGTCTCTCCTCTCTCTTGCCCGATCTCTATACTTTTCTGCTAATTCTGCCATTTTGTCATCTTCCTGCTTCTTTAATTTAGCATAAAAGCTCTTTTTTTTTCTTCGCAATTCGGCTCTATTACTTCCACCAATAATAGGGGTCTGTGCCGTTTTGGCACTAGCATCTCGAACGGTTCCAGGTACAGAAGCTGGTGTTGTCGATGGCACTGACGCTCTAGGTGTCATCAACAACTTCCTAAAGTCATCATTTGTCATACGAGACGAGGCAGAAATATCTTCCTCTTCAGGCATTTTGGCTATTTATCTGAGTAATAATCAAATTAATAAATGCAGTAACAAGTGCACCAAAGCTTTCAACTATTGCTTCTTAAAAGCTAATACGCTCATTCAATTTTATTCAAATCCATTTACTTACGAAATAACGTACTTACTTTTAAAAAAGAACTTATATGTATATCGATATTGTTGTTAACTACAAACTTCTAATAAACAATATAATAAAAAAACACTGTCTCTACAAAATTATAGGTTAAATAATACTATACAACGTTAAGCCGTGAAGTTAGCTTACGTGGATTGGCCTCGACATACGGTTGGCAACATTGTACACATTGAATTTCTTGCTCCGACCGACGTGATGTTCACGCTGATTGGATGCCACCAGCGCTTGAATATTCATTTGGATATGGCGGGTTACTTCGACAAGATATTTGATATGTGTAATTTTCAAGTTCAAGATTAATATTATTGATATCGGAAAATTAAATAAATAGAACTATTTATAACAGACTATTCTTGATTTATATATATATATATATATATATATATATATATATATATATAATTTTTAGATTGAATCTACTCGTACAATGCAGTTGTTAATTATAATATAATAATCAAATTAAATACTATTTGATTATTGTGATGACAAAATTTGGAGCTTTCGGTGCTTGGAGATATCGTGCCAAAGTATCTCTTGACATTACTGTATTGGGTAGTTTTACTGTTATTCTTTTAAATTTATTTAGTTATTTATTTATGTTTTTTTTTTTTTTTTTTAAGAATAAAGTATCAATATTAATTACTAATACTTTAATATTTAACAATAATTGTAGTAATAATAATGTATTAATTTAATGTTTGTTGTTGTTAAATCTATAATATAAATACGTGGATTAAAATAAAATATTTTAAAAATGAAAATAAAATTTTGTTTTTTCATCTTACTAAACTTAATTTAATTTTTTCAGATTAAACTCATATTTATTCGTTTCAATGTCTGTATTCGAAAGTATTTTTGATAATATTTCATTCTTTTGAATCATTCGGTCGATATTTTATTAAAAAAAATTGAAATGGTTATTATTTTAAATCTATAATTATTGCACTGGATGTTCACGTGTGCACATTAAGTATTTTTTTTAATTAAAACAATTGCTTATAGAGCATCGGTATAACTACGTGTATGTATTTAATAACGATAATAGCTTGCCAATAAATAGGTGAAAGAATAGTTGAAGAGAGAAGAAGAGTGAGAATAGATTGTCTACAGAAATTTATAGCACAGGAAAATATTGTTTTACATAATACAGATGGACTATATATTTTGTCAAAACATACATCGAATTAGCTGGATATTTTACATAATATTGTACTGATATTGTGCTTTCAGATTAACAGAAATACTATTTTAAAATTCAGAACACTCAACTGAATAATATAGTTATTTTAATTGAATTATATTATAAAGATTATAATAGGCATTTCCAAGTAATTATGAATTTCTACAGCCCATGAGGTAGATCCACGCGCGCACGTACACACACACACACACACACACACACACACACGCACACGCACGCATACACGTGAACACAAACCGAAGCATAATAAATATGATCTTCGACAAAATTTCATGAATATGAGAGATTAAAATTTCAAAATCTAGGATATTAATAAGGTATATAATATTCCATAAAATTCAATGACTACAATTCTTTATACATGATTTGTCATGCTTTATATATATATATATATATATATATAACATAATAAAAATCGGCTTATTAATACAATAGCAGTTCTTTAAATACTATTGTGCCTTTAATTGAGACACAGTTAGTTATGAGTATCGAAAAGTATTGACGGTTAAAATTTGATCAGTTGCGTAAATTTTATCACAGAAGGAACAATATCGCAATTTCAAAAGAGCTGTGCTTAAGAAATTACCTCATAATGACGTGTATAATTATTTATTCATTAGCAGCATAATGTATAACGTAAAAAATGACTTTATTAGCCTGCTATTAAAATTTCCTATGGCAAATTACATAAACAATAATAACAGCGAATATAAAATCAACAAATTTTTTTTTAGATACAACGGTATATTATCATCATCATTATCATCATCATCATCATCATCATCATCATCATCATCATCATCATCATCAATCGTCATTATTGTTACTATCGTAATTATCGTTATTATTATTAATATTATCGTCATTATTATTATTATTATTATTATTATTATTATTATTATTATTATTATTATTATTATTATTATTATTATTATTATTATTATTATTATTATTATTCAAACTGAAATAACAAATCAAAGCGGAACGAAGAAAAAAATCAATCTTTTTTGGTAAGAAGGCAGGGCACTTTAAATTCCTTGGCTTCTCCGGTATTCACGTTCGCGATGTAATGCGGGAAGCTGTCGAGGCCATGGCACGCGGCCCCGTATTCTCCAGCCTTGTTCAATGCGATTACAGCTCCCCTAAACTTGGGGTAATACTTGACCATTCGTCGGACCGCTGTCTCCGTCGCCGCTGTCGGTGCCACGCCGAGCCTCATCAGCTCCACGGAGAGATAACTGAAACAGCGCGGTGGTTCGGCCCGTTACATTCCCGTTATCGACGATCCCTTCTTGTTGGCTTAAATTCTCGGGGGACGGGGACTCGTTACCTGGGCAAGAAGCGCATGATGATGTCGCCGTCACCGGTGGCGGCAGCCGCGCCGACTTCACCGTCGGCGTAAGCCCCCGCGCCCGTCACGGCCGAGTCGCCGATTCGGCCCGGTATTTTGTACTTCTGGCCGTTGGTCGAGACACCCGCGGCAATACGACCTTGGACGTCGAGGGCGACGACACCGATCGTGTCGTGATTGTTCTCGTCGACGAGGGATGTGTCGCGCTTGACTTTGCTGCTCGCTTGATTGCTGGACTTGTACGGGCCGCAGCTGAGTGATGGGTTGGGGCTGACGTTCTGGAATGGAGGTGGCGTTTTGATAATTATAATTGATTTTTATAAGGCAGATCTTTCGTCAAATGAGATGATCGAGCAATTTATCGATTGTTGAACATAGGGATAAAATTACCTCCCAGAAATTCGGCTGGCAGTTGTTATTCTTCCATTTTTGCCAAATATCGCGAGACTTTTGGGTCTGCAGAGTTTCCTTCTTAAAGCCAATTTGGGAGGCAAAATCAGCGGCGAGCTCGCCACCAATCAATGAATGCTTGGTATTTTCCATGACTTTCCGCGCAACGGAAATTGCGTCTTTGATATTTCGCAGACCTCCAACTGCGCCCACATCCATTGTGACTCTAAAAACAAGGAGATTACGAGATAAGTGTCAACCGATTTTGTCAATGCCGTTAATGGACGACCATCCGTCAGTTTAATTGCGAAGATAATTTTATGATAAAGTCGAGAAGAAATTTTACCCATCCATGATTAAAGCATCTAACGTGGTTTCTCCATTTTCATCTGGATTTCCTCCAAAACCAACAGTCCCACGACACTGCATTTGCTCGCACAATGTACAACTTTCTTCGATAGCATCAAGGGCACTTCTTTTTTCAGCATAAAGGGTTTTCCACGCTAATAATAGCAAATTTTAATATTTATCTTATGTAGAATGTGCATATAGAGGAGTTTACAATATTGCATAAAATTCCATAAAATCTGTGACTTTGTAAGAGTGTATATTCGTTTATATTTTTCATTGAAAATTCTTTTATTCTATAATGACGAGAATATAAATATTTTTATTTTTTAATAAGCTAACATTTATAAGCAGTAAAAATATTTAAATAATTTAGACTTGATTAATTAGAGAAATTTATTAAAAAAATTTTGATTATCTATTTTCTCATTAATAATACAACGTGTCACGATGTTTGTTTGCCTGGCTGTATGCACGTGTGCGCGCGCGTACGTGTACGTGTGCATGTCATTAGTATGGACAGTCAGTTAGGCATTCATACATTTATTGTATTTTCGATGAAGTTTACAAAAAGAATCTTTTATGCCTTAATAAAAATAAGTATTTCATAATAATTGGATGTATAAGCATATATGAGGTTAATTATAGCAGATCAATTAATACAATAATGATTTATTAATTTAATTAGACATGTATTTTTTTTTTTAACAAATAGCATCAAATATATAAAAAATTAACGCAATTTTAAAACAGTTTTAAATTCCTAGCTTTTCCGAGATAAAAGAATTATATAATATACTTTTATGAAATTATTGATTAAATGATGCTTGATGATAGCTTTCATCGATAAAAAATAATTTTGTTCAACGACCTACGAAAGGTTTTTGAAACGCGTATGTATCATATTAATTATTTTATGTCTAATTAATAATATAAATACGAATGATTGTATTATTTAACTTATTAATATTAATTCTTCAATGTGAATAGTGCACAATAATACTTCGACTTAATTATCAGTTATTTATATTTAGCAATGTGATTTATTAACAATTGTTTTACTTGAAAAATATAAATTACATATAGAACGAGTACTGTGTGATAAATAGCATATATTATACCAATACACATACCAGTATTGTAGAAATTGATTTATTTGCCTACTATTATAATGATAAATAAATTTTTTACGAAAAAATAGAATGTACGTAGTAAGCGTTTGAATGAAATAAAATGTTACAACTAACGTGAAATTACAAATACAGTTCATCTTATGTTTTGCATTGTTCGTTAATTAATTAGATTAATTAGAACAATAATTTTTATATAATAATATTTACCTTTTTGAGTAGCATTTGGATAATCCCATGTAACTATTACAACTGGATTAATTTCACTCTTGCCGTATCGTATTAAGAAATTAAATAAAATAATTTTTATAATTGAGAATATTTTCAAAAGCTGAAATATATCCATATTTTTGTTACTGCGATACGATCGTCTCAATGATTTAAGTGAAACTAACGGGCCTTCCTATTTGACTTTCTCGCTAGACTTATCTTCAATTGACTCAAGGACCAGTTACGAGGAGATATGCAGAGTCTCTGTTCAACAAATTCTGCTTACAAAAAAAACCACAACAGTTCATTCCAATTTCAATTTGTAACTTTAATATTTTTACTTTGACAAAAATATTGTCCAATAAATAATTTATTATTAATATGCCGGGGAGAATTTTGCTATTCGTTCAATTTGAAAAATGTATAAGAATCCAATATGTTTACGTAAATAAATACGCGATAAAAGCTAACTCAATTTTATAAAAACGTATTTCTCCGGTAAATATATAGAATTACTTTTTTTTTGTTTTTTTGTCTTATTGTTTTTATCCAATGGTAGTAAACATCAATAATCTTTGCATTGTTCGATTTAAATCAAAGTACATTAGATTGGAAAAATATCAAGACTTGAAGAATGTCTTCGTACATACGTAGATATTTATTATTGATATTTCCTGTATGTATGTGTAATTAATAATGTAATCAAAGTATTTTTGCAGATTATCCTGATATTTTTCATCTCTAATAAATAAAATTGCTAAAGCAGTCATACAGCGTATAAAAGGTTTTATTGAATTATTACGAGTAAGTGGATGGCCGTCAATTTGTCAATAAATTAATAAATTGCATATTTATTGTCACAAGGTACCTTAATTATACTCGCACTATTTATTATAGTGAAGATGTAAAATGAAATTTTATCCATTAAATAATTTTCCAAACTATTGTTATTTTTTTATTCATATTTTATCTGAGAATTAATCGACGATAATATTATCGATTATTCATTACCTTATATTATCTGTTATTAAAAATTGACATATTTCAATACAGTGATATTTATTCTTTATAGTTTCAAGAAGGAAAGAAAAAGTTTCAAAGGAGAATATTTCATTTATTACGAAGAGCGTAACGTCCAACAAAGCAATAAGGACAATTCAAGCAATATCATTACTCATTACGTTACCTTGATTGTCTAACTGCTATTCATGTCTGATTTTAAGTTCTTAGACTCCTTCAACGGCATTGTTTATTAACGGCAATCGGCATAATTTATTTGACGATTTCCGCGGCATCTTATTCAATTTACAACGAAACTTGCATTTCTCTCTCTCTCTCTCTCTCTCTCTCTCTCTCTCTCTCTCTCTCTCTCTCTAAAGACTACCGTTACTGGAAGAAAACCATAATTCCATACACCATAATTTTCCGTATTTTATTTTAATTAAATCTGAAAAATAATAATTGTATAATTTTAATTAAAATTTTTAATCTTTGACTGATTGGGGGTTACGAAATTTTGACAAAAAAAAAAAAAAAAAAAAAAAAAAAAAAAAAAAAAAAAAAAATTTTTAAAGAAGATTGTACAAAATGAATGTTTAATGTAGATTGTAATCAAGTTTACATTGATATTTGCATGTAATTAATCTACGTGTATTTATTTCATCGATAATAATAATCAGCTGATAAGTTCAGAGAAGTAATTAGCCAAACGAAACAAAATAACTTATCTCTTCTAAAAATAAAATTATTATGTAATTTTGACATAATAGTTGCTTTCTTTCGTAATTTACGTAAATGATGTAATCAAATAAAATTATATTATCGAATATATATATATATATATATATATATATATATATATATATATATGAACAGATTCGTTTTAATTTTTCACGATGAATCATTCATCTTTTCAAATGTTAATAAAGTCTTAATAAATTTTTAATTGTTCTCTTTATAGAAATGTATTAACACTTTTGTGCTATTAGTTAAAAGATCCGAATAAACATGAGTAATATGTAAGATAGTTATTAATGTGGTTAATCGATAGATCAAATTGTTTGAAATAAATTCGATTCGACAGAAGGCAAATAATTGTTTATCTAACAGCCAAAATACTTATAAATGTTGCGAGGCTAATAAACGATTATATATTTATTTTATAATTCAAATATTTCAATAAATTGTTATTGAATTATATTGCAACAGTTTCATAATTATTTTAATAATTATTGATTAATACTGAAAGAGCTATTGTAAAATAAAAAGTTTCTTGATCCTTCTCGAATAATCGAAATATTTACAAACTTTTGTAATTGGTCTTTACGTATAGTTGTTAGTATACGTAATTAGTATTAGTATAGTTTCTTACTCGTAACTCTTCAATGAGTTTAAATTACATATGATTCTTGCTTATGCTTTAGCCGTAATTTATGTATTATTATTTTACGTATTATTGTCTCCGAGTTCTTAACAATCATTACTGCATAGCGTTGGAGATAAAAAGCCATTCCTCATCCCCATCCGAGTATTGAAAATATTTTTACTTCTCTTTTCTCGTGAAAATTACTCCCTCCCCCGTCCCCCATCCCCACCCCGACCCCCGCCCCATCCAGCCCAACCCACCCACCCACCCACCCACCCACACACACACACACTAATCTGGTCATAAATATAATCGATTTTTATAATAATTTGTTCGTTATCATTCAAATGCACTATACCTCTTATATTCCTATAGAGTCTGAATTTTGTATAATTGCAGTTGTACTTCTTTAGAGTTCAGTTTTTAAATTATTATTTTTCAGTCTAAGGTGCCGTACTTATATCATTGTTAGGCAAAGGACTGTTTATTCTTCATTTATGCAGGAATACGTTATGATTTACCGTTATGAGTTATTTTCAAAGATAAAGGTTTATCATTCGTAATAAATAATAATCGCTCGATTGTTTCTTCTGGAATGTTTTTCCAGCATTCAGAAATGTAGGTCTCTAATCAAACAATGGACAAGTTCTCGTTAAGACGCCGCTTACATACTTATTACATACTTGTACAAATACATCAGACATTTAATAATTAATTATTAAAACTTATTTTATTTTACTTTTTGATAAGATAAGAATAATGATTGTCACGTTCGAGGGTTATTTATTATTATTATTATTATTATTATTATTATTATTATTATTATTATTATTATTATTATTATTATTATTATTATTATTTAATATATAATTTAAAAAGCGATTTTACGTTGTTAATTATTCATAAATAAATATATAGATATAAATAGATATAAATTATATTTAAGAATACACTGCTTTTATACAAATGCCTTTTCATTTTAGATGAAACTTTTTAATATTCAAAAAGTTGAAATGAATTTTACTACCTCTTAAAAATATTAAAATAAAAATTATTTAATAATTTTGTAATATTAATTTTTAATGACTGAAAATATTAGAGTTTAAGTATTTTTGTTTTTTTTTGTTTTGTTTTTGTCTTTGTTTTTGTTTTTATTTATTCTTAAATTACGTAGAAAAATATAAAACTTCTGCCTTGCAATAATAATTTAATAAAAATATATAATGCGCTGCAACGATTAATGAATTTGATACAAATATACATATATAATAAAAATTTACACGTAATATTAATGATGCACGAGACATGGTACGTAAAAAATAGTTGGCTTCCCCAGCTTAAGATTACTGGCATAGAATGGAAAACCTTTAAATCCATTACAAGCTACTCCAAAACGACCATTCTTGTTTAAAGCGATAACGGCACCGGAAAAATTTGGATAATGTTTAACTATTCTTTTTATTGCTGTTTCAGCTGCTGTAGTTGGCGTCATTCCCTGACGCATCAGTTCAACAGTCAAAAAACTGAAATATAAATAAAAAGCATAGATTTCAATACATATACCTAGATTTTTACAATTACATTTATATTGTTAATAGGAAGTGTGTTGTATATATATATATATATATATATATATATATATATATATATATATAAATATACATCGTGAGTGACTTGAAATAAATTTTGTTTGCATAAATTTTAGAGAAAATTTTTTCACAACTAATACAAATAAAAATATTGATGTACAAAAGTTATATATTTCGTTTTTATAATTTTAAGTTAATATATTAAATAAACACATGCGCACAACAAACACAAGTACCTACAAACTCATATAACTATATATATATATATATATATATATATACCATATTGTTTTTTAGTGGTGCTCGACTGTTATTTTAAGTTAACTATACACTTAGCTTTTGTACAAAAATGACAAAAATTGAAAATATGAAACAAAGTAATATAAAGAATATAATCATAAAATTCTGTTAATAATTTATTTTTATTGAAAATTGTATAAAAGACAGAATTAAATGTGAAAACATTGCCCGAATAAATTGAAATTATGTAAAATGTTTCGATTTAGTAATAATAATTATCTAAATATTATAAAAATTTATAATTTATATTATAGTGAATAAAATATTTATTTAATTTTTTGTACTCTATGAATTGTATAACAATTACTTTTTTAATTTGAATTGCTTGCTTTTTATTAAATTTTACTCTCTCATTATAATCCGATTAAAAGTTTGTTATTTATTATAATATATGTATTATTAATACACTTATTAATTTGTTGCTATTTGTTAATCTACCTTTGTATACGTTAACACGGATTCGTTCTCATTTAGCAATAATAAATTTCGAACATTAAATTCGAATCATTGTTTAAAATAAAGAATTTGCAACAGCTAGCAATTTTCAATTAATTAGTATTTTGTTTAATGTTGAAAAATGACTTCGTTAATATTTCTTTATCACCATAAGCAAATCTTACACAACAATAGCTGTTATTGAAGCCTTAGATAATAAATGTGCTCGATCGGCTTAGCGATAAAACAATTTAATTGCTCATTACACAATGAAGGCGCTGCACTTCGCTTCAACATATTAATATTCGACATATTAATATTGTTCTGGCCAAACCGTAAAGCAACTACTTCTACTTATCAATTTAAGCCAAGCAAACATTCATGATCATGCAAATTATGTTTAAATCGATTAATCAACGAGTACCAATCATAAAACTTAGAGTAGTTGTGTTAAAATAATCGTGACATACCTTGGTAAAAAGCGCATCATAATGTCGCCATCCCCTGTAGCAGCTGCGGCGCCCACTTCCTGATCCGCATAAGCTCCAGCTCCTGCAATTGGGGAGTCCCCGACTCTTCCGGGGATTTTATTTCTCGCGCCATTGGTCGACGTTCCAGCTGCAATCTGACCTTTGGCATCGATGGCGAGCATTCCGATTGTATCGTGATTGTCTTCGTTCGAGTGCATGAATTTATCTGGATATTTGGTCTTTCTTTTGGGTTGATATGGGCCACAGTTAGTCGTTGGGTTTGGAGTGACGTTCTGGAATGGTGGAAAAAATTCATGTAATTTCATCTGGCGAATAAGAAGAGATGGATTGTTTTAAATGCTCAACGAAAGCTTAAAATAATACCTTCCAGAAATTTGGCTGGCAATGATTATTTTTCCATTTCTTCCATAAGCCGTGTGATTTATCAGTTTGCAATGATTCGTTTGAAAATCCCATTTTTATTGCAAACTCTGTTGCCAAATCTCCAACGAGTAACGAATGTGCTGTATTTTCCAGTACGTGACGAGCAACTGAAATTGCACTTTTAACATTCCTAATTCCTCCAACGGCTCCAACATCCATTGTCGTACTACAACATTTAAACAAAGTGACTTTGCTTTGTTCTTTCCCTCTCTCTCTCTCTCTCTCTCTTCTTCTTCTTTTTTTGTATATTTTTTTAACATAATTAAAGTTACCCATCCATTAACATGGCATCTAACGTGGTTTCTCCATTTTCATCCGGGCTACCACCATAGCCAACTGTTCCTCGACATTGTATTTCCTCACAAAAACTACAGCCAGCTTCGATAGCATCTATGGCACTTCCCTTTCCATTGTAAATTGTATTCCAAGCTAAAAAGCATAATACATATTTATCATAAAGTCTTTTGTATAAATATGCCTTTTATGCCTTACCCACTTCGGTAGCATTTTTATAATCCCACGTGGTTACAACAAGAGGAATATACTTATCCATCCCATGCACACATGGTAATATTATCCATATATTTAATGTATATAAATAGTTTAATAATTTGAAATGTATCATATTTATGAGACGATGGTCATTAACGCTGTCTTCTCTGTTTATTTATAAGACACTGGTGATCTTTGCACTTAGTTTTGATAATAATTTTTTTACAGAATACTCATTCAGCAGATACGTAATCGAAAACTTTCCAATTGCTGCGCTATATTGAAGAAGAGGAATTTAAACTTTCTTGAATATATAAGTCAAATCTTAATGAAATGCTGATGCTAAATGTTTGGTATAAGGTGTATTTACAAAACAAATAAATGCTTTGTAAGTCATTTACGTTATATTATTCTTATTCCATTATGAAATGCAATTTTTCATTAGAATGAAAAAATGATGTAATTTATTCATTACTTAAAGAGCATATTTGAAAAAAATCTAAAGATTGAGTTAATATTATAAAAAAATATTAAAACAACGTAAATCCATAATAAATTAATACTTAAATAATTGATTGTTTTTAACTTGTTGTCGATCATTTCTAAAGTTTATATAATTAGATGATTTTAAGGTTTCAAATTAACACGTGCAAAAACATTATTATTATATCATATGCTTTGACAATATACGATGCTCTCGATAAAAATTATTCATTAAAATCTTTTCTGTTTTGATGAATTGTTATTCGCAATGCATGACTAAGCATTGAGTAGGTTGCAATTTTTTAAAACTATTTCTACTCTGATATTTGTAATTAGAATAATTTAATTCACTGATTCCAATTTATGTATGAGAATATTTGAATGAAAAAATGTAACGAAAAACTATGTGTACACTCTGTTTAGGTAGTAAATCAATTGTAGAGTATTTAATAAAGATATTGTAAAATTAATTGATAACAAAATTTAACAATTCAACAGTCGTATATATTATTTGTTTATATATAGGAAAATAAAAATGAAAATAAAAAAAAAAAATTATTTAAACAGCTATTGAAAATAAGAGAAGCTTAAGAATATTGAATAATATTTCGGTGTCAGTTGATTCTTGACACCTATTATTTTTCGAAATTCTCATTCGATTGTTTTGTTATATAATTTTGTTTATATAATAAATAATCTTTATTGTTTAGTAATGCTAATGATGAAGTGATTATTTCATAGAGGTTATATTATTATATAAACAACGTATTTGCACGTCTTACGCATGTGTCACGTGTGTGCATTTGCCTGTTCGATTATTAAATGACATGTATAGTGAAATGATATTTGACCTAATTTAATTTTTCATATAAATGAGAAGCTTTATGAAATGCTTTGTCAATTAAAAATATTTTTTTTACAAATCAATTTGTGAATGCATGATAATTGTACATACGAGAATTGTGATGAGATTTGCAGGTATAATGCAACGATCGTCATAATAAAAAATTATTAATTATATATAGAATTAATAACGTAACTTACGTTTCTTAATAAAATTTCGAAATTATTCCGATTATTGAAGCAAATGCATTAAAGTTGGAACGACAAAAGGTTGAGTGGAGAGAAAACATGAGTCCAAGAGTCATTATCCACGACATCAATTGATGTATAATTGTAATCTCATTTTAAATTACATTAAAAATATTCTAAAGTATTCTATGGAATATCACAGCATTATAATGAATAATGAAGTCGACTAGGTAAATAGTTGATATTTATTAATGACAAATAATACCAGCAGACTACAAAGTAGGTGAGCTATTGTAGCAGAAGGCAAATTAAACTAGTAAATAAATGAATATGAATATGCGAAGTGCCGGTCTGCACTTGGCAGTGTTGCCGTGTCTCTCCACTCCTCCATTCTCTATGATTTCTAGTTTCTACTATAGATTACAAATAAAATTAATTTTATTTCTGATCTGGCAGCCCTGCAATATCTAGTAGAAAATCTATGTGCCAACCGAGTTCATTTGATGAAAAAACGTAGAATTAATAAAGTACATAAGTGATAATAAATGGATAAGAAATACAGATGGGCGTGGTAAATTAGGTTTAAAATTAGACATCACCAATGTAATTAAAAGCGATAAAAGTTCATTCGTCTATCAATGCTGTTAGGCAAAACTGATTGTATAACCTCTGAAATAGAATTGAAGCAATACTTTTTACTTGATTGAGAATGACAATTTATTAAGCATTTAAAACATTAGTCACTTTAACTGAAACATGTTATATTGAACTTTATGGCGATATAAATGATCTGAAGTATTTAATATTGGCACTATCGGCAATATATAAAAAGATTGTAAAAGATTCATTTATTTGCATTCTATAAATAAGAATCATATTAAGAATTAGGAAAGGAAATATTGCTCGCATGAGGATTAATTTGTCATTATTTTCTGAAAAAGAGAAGAAATCTTGATAATTCATTTTTATTGAATATATCTGATTAGGAAGACTAACATAGGAAAACTCATTAGCAATGTTTAGCTTAAAGAATGATTTTCTACATTTGAAAAGAGATCTTCGACAGTTGATGAGACCTTATTATTTAATAAATATATTCCTTAGTGTATCTTACATTGTTGCTAAAAGATTGCCTTATATATGTCACTTTCTGTTTTCCCAAACTGATTGTGAACTCGATGATGTAATATATATGCGTTTGTTTATTTAATATAAGATACTTGATAGCCATTTTATTCTATGTCCATTTTAATATAAAACTTTTTGTTTTCAGAGAGAGGTAGAAATTTTATTTTTCTTGATAATTGTTATAATGCTAAGGACGAGAAAAGCTGGAAGTGTAAATATGATAAGTTACCTTTCGTCCAGCTTTGTGTATACAAAAGTAGCCAACTTGATTCTTTGGTTTTATGCAGATATACATTTAGGAATATTATATGGAATAATTTTTCTTAGTAAGCAATTACTATTGTTTTAATTTATAGATATTTTATAGACGCTATGTAATTTCAATGGATAATTTTTTATATTTTATCGAATATCTTTCAGTGTGTGGTTTAATAATTCCCGAGCCAACTTATCAGGGCCCCGAAAATGTAATTTATTTGCGTGGTAACAATAGCTTACAAGAAGAACTCCAACGTGATACCAGAGTCTACTGGTTAATCGCATTCTATACAGCTTGGAATCCAGCTTGTGTGAATTTTGCACCTGTGTTTTCTGAATTATCAGCTAAGTATGTCATGGATTAATCAAATTTTATATTTTATACGACGCACGCATAATTTATTATATTTCCTTTTCATCGTGTGCAAAAGTATTTTTATGAAAAATTATATCGTGTCAAAGCACTTGTAATAAATTAATTTTTATAAAACGAGTCGATCGAGTTAATTTGTTTAATGGCTATTTATTCATCTATGTATTCGTATAATCAATTTTTAACAACTCATTGTAGGTACGCTTTAGAAAATTTTAAATTTGGTAAAGTTGATATTGGAAGACATCCAGATGCAGCAGCTAAATACCATATCAATGACTCGAGTAAAAGTCAACAATTGCCATCATTAATACTTTTTAAAGAAGGTAAAGAAGTTGAGAGACGACCATATGCTGATCGTCAAGGCAAATTAGTTAAGTTCCTTTTTTCAATGGTAAGTTTGATTTAATAATTAGTTGAAGAACATTAGACGCTTATAAATTAGTTTATTACTAGAATTATATTGATATATTAAAAAGAACATAAAAAGTTGACAAAATTGTGAAATAGAAAAACAGATAATAAATAAAATGTAATAATTAAATTAAAAATAATTAATTCATGAATTTTTTTGTATTCTTGATTAATTAAAACATAGTTCATAATACAATAAATAAAATTAATATTATTATTTTCTCACATAACACATATGAATTTCCAGGATAACATAAAAGATGCATTTGATTTGAAAGGCGTTCATGATACTTGTTTAAAAAATCCAATCAAAAGGAAAGAAAAGAAAGCAATTAAATCCGATTAAAGTTTTCTAAACCAAAGATAATTATAACGTAGTATAGTAAAAGTCGATTTAACATCGGTTTAAAAATGAGTATTTACAAATTTTTTTTTTTGTTCACAAGAATACTTTTCTTGGACATTTATGTATATAGGATAGCGTTTAACATTTACTTTTATGTTTGTAGAACTAGGAAAATACGTTGAATAGAAAATATTTTTAATGTTATGAATCCATACAAAAGTTCATTACAATTTACAAATTATAGCTTTTAGATTATTCAGGATCGTATATAACTGCATTTGTTTAAGAAATTTTATTAAATAGTAAACGAATGAGATTATTGGTAAAAATTGTCGGATAAATTTATCTAATTTATTTGTCGATTAAAATCAAGAGTGATAATTTAACGTAATTTATTTTATGATTATTTTAACTCAGGTTATCATTGTAACTGTATGTAATATATTTAAATAGTCATGTTTACAGATAATTAATTACCTTTACATAAAGACTGTTTGTATTTGATTATTCGCACAAATTAATATTGCCTTTTGTATTTATGTATTAACAGTTCAATTTTGTAAGTAAAACTTAACGTTATCATAAAACTGTCAAACGATAATTTGCATAATTCTTTACATAATTGGTGAAAAATTTAGAAAAATTTAGAAAAATTTTCATTATTAATGACTATGTATTCTGTTACATGATTATTTCTATTTTCTATGAAGCTTTTCATGAAATAAATTATTAAAACAAAAATTACTGTTTACAAATGTTTTTATATTAATACAATATTTACAAATCATTGTAATGTATATTACAAAGGAGGCCACATCAACATCACTTCAGCATGTGCAGATTCAGGTAACCAACTCTGATAAGCTGTCAATAAAACTACAAAAATATGTGATAACAATATAGCGAATGTAAATTTTAGTTTATCTAAAGAAAATAATAAGAATTCCTTACAGTTTGGATCTTTTGACCACATGTCAGTAAGCTTATCCTTTGACATTATTCCATTTGATAAAAGTAATTTAGTTATTATTTCAATGCGTGGTATTAATCTAGAATTTTAATATCATGTAGGCAATTAACATTTGAAATAAGTGAAAGAATATAATTTAAAATTTTTACTTTGCCCAAGATTTATTGACAGTTCCTGGCGTTGATAACATAAATGGTACGAATTTTTTTAACTTTGGAAAAATTTCACCTTCCAAGAAAAATCGCGTAAACCATTTAATTCCTTCTAAAGTGTTTGGAAATTCTATTTCAATAATTGGTAATTCCCAGCCAGCAGGACCAAAAGTTCCAGTTGTGTGGCAAAATATTTTTCCGGTCTCTGCATCGTACCTATTTAATGATAAAATATTCTTAATTAAAAATTCTTAATTAAATTAAACATGCTGTCTAGTGAGCATGGGCGTTTTTAGTTATTAATTCAACAATATAACGTTTAATTATTAAATGAAATTTATATAAGTTAACCTTGGGAGAGGATCAACCATATGTTCCTTTAGCGAACATAAGGAAGGTGCAAATTTAGGTAGCCATTCTGGTTCAATGGCAGTAATGCCACGCATGTAAGTCTTATTCGTTTCATAAACTTCTTGATATACAATCCATTCTGGAACTTCTTTTCTCAGTACACAGGATGAATGCATAAAAACAGGTTCTTCCATTTCTAAAGTCCTACACAAGACATATATTGTGTATTTAAAATAAAATTATTTATAAGTGACTCGACGACTTATTATATCTATTATTTTATGTCAATTAACATAAATATAATATATATATATATATATATATATATATATAAATCTTACTTATATGCATATTTCCATTTTACTTCATTACCCTCGGCTTTACTACTAAATTCTTTAATTTCTTCGGCTGTTAATTTATGAGCAATTTGATCGATCATACCAGAAAGAATAATTTGCCGAAGTAATTTTGCTTGCGTATCTGTTGGAGGTTGCATTCTAAAATTTATAAGTAAAGACCACTAAATTCATGAACTATAAATTGCTATAACATTTAATTATTTTTTAATTATTCAAAAGCATTGTTTACTCTTATGAGAAACATATTTACTCTGGATTGATATCGAGATTCAGATTTGGAACGTTTATTAAAATTTCATTGGTTAACTGATGACGTAATTTTCTTATTTCAATCATTGCTTTTTCTCGTAATCCATTATCGATGCAAAACTTTGTTAATTTACCCTTTGTCGAGGCATATTCAGCAGCACCAACAGCTCGTATCAATATCATTGGATCACCTGCAAAAATATAAAAACATGACATGCTTAGCGGTAAACATAGCGGTAATCGATAAGAAAAAGGAAGATAAGGATATTTAACAATTGCAAATATACATATCATTTTAAATTAAATATTCAAAATTTTATCAAACCAATGATATAGTAAATACGTACCAAGAAGTAAACTGTTGCCCGTACCAGCCCAGAAACGACGAAGTTGCCTCCACTTATTCACATTTCCATCGGCTCCGCAAGCTTCGACGAAAAGCTCTTGCACCGACAATGCCGTAACCATACAAACAGTATATGCAATGAGATTATATTGTTGCGATAGAGCCAACATTTTTCCATATCGAGGTAAAACCGGGAAAGCAGCCATGGTTTTTCCTAGATTCGTTATCTTGGCACAATAGAGATCTAAACATTAACAATTATTTTAGACATTTAAGATTGACGTAATTTCGGAACTAATTTCGAAAATACAATTACGTTGAAACAAATTAAACGATTTTTTAACGGGGGGAAAAAAAAGAGAAAAATGAAAAAAAAAAAGAAGAAAAAATTACTTCTTTTCGTAGTATTATGAGACTGTTCTAGAGCACCAAGTAAGGATAATCTTATTTCTGCTAACTTTAGTTGCTCGTATCCTGG